AAATATATTAAATATGAACTATACGATTACATTTTTAATTATTTATAATTTTCTTACAAAAATTGAAGCAAAAGATCAGTAAGATATATGGTTAAAATTAATTATTAGGTCAATGAATGTTATTAGGTGGTATAAGTTTGTTAAATCTTACACTAATGTCAATTGATGTCTCTCTATGATCCAAATTGTAGGAGTTCCCAGATATACAACGTCGGCACAATGATATGTGGGCATTGTCTCTTGATCTATCTTCAAATGAAGTCTACTACAATTATGAAATGATTTGTTAGATACACATTGCAAAACTAGTTGCAAAATCTCGTAAGTTGTTTTGGCTTTTAGAGCATAGTCAGATAAGTAGTTCATGTTATTTTATCATTGCACATTTATGAGGATAGCCCCCAGACAATTTTTAGGTACTTCTTTAAAGGGAAGTGTGGCAAATATGAAGCTCCAAAATACATGTGCATTGGCATCTAATCAAACCTATGTACATAAAGAAGGTGGTGACTATAAACAAATGAGGCAACTGAATTGAGTAAAATTTAATCCCTCAACAGCAACCTTTGCAACTGGTGCAAGAAAACTTCCATGTACAAGAAGGACAAGAAAAGCAACGGAACCAATTGCAACAATTGGAGTTTGAGTTGGAATTCACTTCAGATGCTTGTTTAGATTCAAAACAGCTATAACAACTGGCAGAAGAGTCTCTAGCTGCTTCTGATTCTTGTTTATCTGATTGCTGTTGCGGGATATCTGTCTTCATAGAATCATTTCTTTCTGCTTTTGTCAAACTGCAACAGTTTCAAATCAATGAGCTTGTTTGAGATCAAAATTCAAAGAATTTTTTGAGAATCTGAGGACAACTATTATGTCTTAAAGCATGTGCAAACTCAAAACAGATCACAAGGACATGCTTATGATCAAAAGGAGCAGGAAGGAATAAATAAGTGAAAGTGAATGCAAAAGGAACCATGTAATATAAACCAAAGAGAACAGTTATAAGCTTTTTGACTTGATAACTTAATAATAAATATGTCATATAGGTGAAGAGAAGGAAGCATTACATTGGGGAGGCATGATCGCGGTATTTTGTACCATTACAGTTCCAACAGCAAGAGAACGCCCAACAACAATTTGAACAGTTGCAACTTGAGCATGTATAGCAGCAGGTTGGCAATTTACAGTAGCAGAACACCCAGCTACAATCAACACAGTAACAGAATGTCCGTGATCGCTTCTTTCTGCAATGCACAAAGGGGATATTCCTCACTGACAGGACATTATCTCTGAGATTTTATATATCTATACAGGAATATACTTGTAAGTTACCAAGCTTATAGTGTGCTTCTTTATAATTTAGTTGTAAAGGGCATGAGCAAGTCCTAGTTATAAACGGATATAAGCATGTCCCCATTGAAATATGCACATTTGCTTACTCAGTTCATATCTGTAACGTTTTATTGACATGTAGTATAAAGAATGCATATAACTAAAGAATAAAATGAACTCACAATGGGGAGGTATCAGAGCGCACGCTGGTGCCACTCCTATGAGAAAGACCAGACACACTGGACTTGGATTCCTTGTAACTTGCAGTTTGATGTGAAGTCTTTATTCTGTTGTTATGGTCTTCACTGAGCCTTTCTTCTTCTGACATGAGAGCTTCATCAGATGTTTCTGTTGTTTTCAGGTTCTCTACATTAACACTCTTTCTGACACAGTCTATCTCCTCTAAGATAACTGACGGGATTCGTTTAGACAATTGCAACTCACCAGATTTGGTCAATTCCCCTGACATGCCTAACTCACCAAACATAGACAAATGTTCTCTGGATAAACTAGGTTGCCCTATTTGAATACTAAATAATGAATCATTAGAAGCAATACTCCATTCCAATGGATTAGAATTTCTATCGAAGATTGAAGATGGAATCCTGGAAGGATCATATCTTGCAGATCGATCCATCACTTGCATAGGAGGGCTAACAGTAGGTGACATACCCTTTTGGCTGTGGACCAAATTGAAAATTGGAACTAGAGGGTTAGTATCAACTTCAGATTTCGTAGAGCTCTCACTACTAGAAATATAATCTTTTCCAGATTTTGATGCAAGGGTAGATGCATCAGACTTGGTAAATTTAAATGTTTCCTCAATTCGAAAGAAATCGTCTGATGATGACTCTGACGAAGAGGAAGAATTGGATGTAGCAGAGGAAGGTATGCCTTTAGTAGTGTCATTGATATGTGTGTCAGAGTAATTATCATTCTTACCATTTTCACCACTAATTATGACATCTACTTGCCTTTCGGAATCACTACTGCTTTCACTCTCATGACTTACCTCTGGGTTTGAACTTTTATTTCTTTCATAATCATCAGTAGTTTCTGTAAATACTTTTTCTTGATTATCTTCTATGCTATGATCAAATGTCTCTCTATACATTTGAACACTTGTTGCTTCTCTTCCCTTTCCCTCCGATGACCCTGCATGAGTTTTCGAATGCTTAGAATTTAGTCTGCCATGTCCCTAATCCATTACAGATTTTACATTACTCTAGAAAGGTCATGCTATATTTCCACACTCTAGTGTCAAGAAATTGAAATGTAAACCTGAAGTATATTTTTCCAAGTGAATATCATGAGTGAAGGGTTCTAAAGTTTTTGTTTTATGAAAAAAAGAAGATAATTACAAAAAGAGAAGAAAGAACAAAAGGTTTTTCGGGATTGTTATATGATGTATGCTTTATTAATTATCAACGAAGAAATAGTGAATTCTAACGTAAAAAAATAAGAATTTGGAATTCTATATTATATCAGAAAACTATATATGAGAGTTTTTTCCATGTAGATCCACCCCAACTCCTGGATTAAGAATGACATTAACAAAACACCTTGAAAATCTGAAATTTGATGTGAATTCCAGAACTTCAAAGTCATATCCTTAATCTCATTCTAGTATCCATTTGCAACAAACATTTCAACAATGCATGAACATAAAATGACATAAAAAATTTTATTATCCCATTATTCAACCTTCTCGCTTCCTTTCTCACGTTGCTCATGTTTCAAATACCCAATGTCAAAATTCCCCTCACCCCCCTGATGATATCTATGTTCATTCATTCATGGGCCACAGAAAATCAAACACAGAATAATAGAAAAAAAATTCCCAAAATAAAATAAAATAAAAACATGGAATAAATTGCAGGAAAATGACCCAAATAAAAATCCGGGATTTACATCAAAATTTAAAAAATTGCAAAACCCCACAATTTTGTTAATTGGATCATGAATGTACCTGAAAATTCATATGACTGAGAAAACAATTTTGTGAATGGAATTTTTCTTTATTATTCGTTTGATGTTGAAGATTGCAGTTAGCAACAATAATGTGGAATCAGATGACGAATCGATATGAAGTATCAAAATTCGAAACGAAATGAGGAATTAGGGTTTCGGGGGAGAATCAGATGACGAGAAGTTTTACGACATCATCGAAAATTTCGGATTCCATTCTGTTAACAACTATTAGTGCATGCGTTTCGCGCCAAATCTCAAACGATTTGCATCCAACCGCAAAAGGTGTATTAGGTAATAATTTCCAACATATCCATAACAGTAATAGATAATTTCATTATTTTTTTATAACTAACATTTTCATCCATTTTAATTTATTTGCCCTTATGAGTGTTTTATTTTCATTTCGAATCTTACATTATGTTAATTTAAACAAAAAGAAAAAAATGATTATATTATTTATACAATATAATATAATATAAGCTCTTATAAATGTTGTCATCAAGGGTGTACATGCATGCCCAAATAAGTTGAGGGAAAATCATGTGAGGCACGACTTTTTATTTTTAAATCGGGAGAATTATCAAATGTTTATAAAAATAAAATGTTACATGTAAATTAATGGTGGATTAATATACGAATATCTAAATTAACATTATTTTAAAATAATATCTAACTTTCTATTTAATAAACAATATCATTTTTTTAATTGATACTTGTTAAGATATTCATAAATTTGAGAAAGTATTTTATAACTTCTTTAAATTAATGATTATAATTCTTATTATATTTTAAAGATAAATAGTATTAACTTTTTAAACTAAATTACTGATTTTATTATTTATTAATCTAAAATTAACAATAAATTCTACGTGTGAGAGAAGGTATAAATTCTTTCAATTATAAAAGGTACCATAAATTTTACTTTTGTAATATTGCAGTGAAGTATTGCGTTGCATAACTCCTGCGCATTTCACCTTTCATAAAACTAGTTTTTTACAAATGACCATAAATAATTACATAATTAAAAATAGAACATTATATGGTTTCATCTTTTTCTTTATTTTTTTGTGGACTGGGGTAGAAGTGTCTTTTAGTACCTGCAGGCTCATGCCCGTTTTCAAAGCAAAATCTATTATTTGAGAAATTGATAGAAACAAACACTCCATGATTATGACGACGACCAAAGTAACAACGTCGAATTCGTCATCTAATAACATCTTAACTTTGTTTTGTTTTCTCTTATTCCTCCTTACAAAATTGTTACAATCAAGAAGCATGTACCTTTATTAGTAGTTAAGGACACATCCAACACTTACTACAGCAATATAATCATCCTACCATCACACGAACAATCTTTCTATTCAAAGCTCAAAGCATAGATGAGTCAAAGTATGCCAGCTCATAATTATTTTTTAAAGAAAAATCACGTTACTTTCTATGATCAATCCTCTCCTATAACTACTGTTTCCCTTCAACATGTCTTAGCACAACTGAAGATAACCAAAACAAAGGTGAAGATGTCAAGTTATTGCAAAGGTAATAATTGCATATACATTTCTAATTATAAATTATAAAAAGGATTATGTTAGCCACGTATCAGTTTGTTGTAAGTATTTTTCGTTAAACTAGTTTTATCATTAAGTATCAAAATTTATAAAAGCAATGAAGTTAGGTGACTAGTGTCTTCAAGTGTAATAATGAATTATTGCAATGTAGGTAAAAGCTCGTGGCAAGAGCTGGTTGGCATCAATGGAGAAGCAGCAACACAAATTATTATGAGAGAAAATCCGAACGTGAAGGCTTTTGTTGTGGCAGAAGGATCAGTGGTGACCAATGATTTCAAGTGTGACAGGGTGCGAGTCTTCGTTAACTATCGGGGCATTGTTACTCTAGTGCCCAAAATTGGTTAATCAAATCAAGAGTCATGTTCATCACTTGACATAGTTTATCATGTTTGGTTTGTGTGGGTTCAAAAAGTTTGTGTTTCTAAAACTTCTATAATGTGGTAGCTAATCAAAATAAGAGGTTTAATAGGTACCTCCACTTAGTACCTCTGTGATGTTAACCATGTCTTTAATTTATGTATTGCTTGGTTGATTGGCTTTACAATAAGACAGTGCGTATAATTTCTAGTGTAATTCTATCTTATCTTGCTCAACTTTAAAAATGAGAATTTATTAAATTTTGCGTCCGATAATTTTAAGAAAAAAATATAATAAATTAACTCCTAATCAATATATGTTTAGATGACATATAAAAGACAATAATTCGTCCGTACGTTCAATCAATTTTTTGCAACTCTATTTTATTTCTTTAGAGAAATTGAAGCATATGATTGCGTTAATAATATATATATAAATTAACACCTTCTAGCAAAGTGTCATCCTTGAACTTTCACGTACTTTAATGATCATCTATAAATCATTTTGCATACATCAGTGTTTTTAAAACCGAAGAAAACCACTAAATCGATAAAGAAAAATATCAAAAATCAAAATAATTACATTTTATACTGTGATTTAGTTCATTTTTCATTCTTATTATTAAAACCAAGCTAAACTAAATTCAACTACATTTATAATAAATTTATATTTTTTATTGTATCATTATATAAATATTTTTAAAATAATTTAATAAGTAAAAAATAGAAAAAAAAATCGATCCAAATCAATATTTTATAATTTAATATAGTTTATTTTAAATTATATTCAAAGCAAACTAAATTAAACTCCATGTTATTTTTATATTTAGCTTAGATGTTTATTTGAGATAAAATAGAACCGAACTAAACCGCAAACATCCCTACCAGGCTACCACGTGATATGCTTCTAGTTGAAGAATTATGAAAAGATAAAAATAGAGAAGTTAGAGTGTGAAAACAAACTGCAAACTCATGGCTTCTGCATAAGTAGAAGTAATATATGCAGAATGTAAGTTTAGTAAAATGCAGAACAATACTAGTTTTGAGGTAAGAGTTGCATATTTTATCACTCACTCAATTTAATAACTATTTAAGATTCATTGTAGAAACATTAGCGAAATCAAAAGAGATGTAATCATAAAACTCAAGTGAGATGGGTGAAGAAGAATGCTCAAATGAGATATTTTTAAGACAAAAGCAAGTACCACTCATTCAAACTAAAAAAGAAATTTTACTGCACTATAATAACTTTTTGTAATGTTATACAGAATTTTTGTATGGTAAAAAAGTCAATTCGAAAATAAAGTCAATGTAATAGAGATCAAAATGCTATACATTGTGCAGTCATGTTGAAGAACTATGATAAATATATTTGATCAGGTGTACCTGCATGCCTAAATATGTTAAATATATTGTAGGATGTAAAAGTTGAAGGAAAATAATGTGAGGCGTGACTTTTTATTTTGAAATTGAGAGGATTATTAAATGTTTATAAAAATAAAATGTTACACGATAATTTTTCATCTCGTCACTTTTACGTAGGATTGATACGTAGAATTGTGTATTCTAGTTCCTGCAGGCTTAAGCCCGTTTTCAAAGCAAAATCTATTATTTAAGAAATTGATCGATACAAACACTACATTATTATGATGACCAAAGTAACAATGTTGAATTCGTCATCTAATAACAATATCTTAATGTTCTTTTTCTTCTCTCTTCCTCGTTACAAAATTGGCACAAAACAAGAAGCATAGGTTAGTCAACATATGCCGGCTATTTGTATCATAATTAAATTTTTTTTTAAAATTCGTTACTTTCAATATCAAATCTATAAATCCTCTCCTATAAGTACCATTTCGCTTCAACATGTCTTAGCACAACTGAAGATAACCAAATCAAAGGTGAAGATGTCTTATTGCAAAGGTAATAGGATATACCCTTTACTTTATATATAAATTTAACTAATTTCACGGTTTAGTATCAAAAGCTTTCAATGATTGCAAATGAAATTGCATGCAGGTAAAAGCTCGTGGCAGGAGTTGGTTGGCATCAATGGACAAGCAGCAACACAAATTATTATGAGAGAAAATCCAAACGTTAAGGCTTTTACTGTGCCAGAAGGTTCAGTGGTGACTGCTGATTTTAGGTGTGATAGGGTTCGAGTCTTCGTGAACTATCAGAACGTTGTGACTCGAGTGCCTAAAATTGGTTAACCAATTTGAGAGCCATTTATGTTTGGCTTAGTTTATTTTAAAGTTTGGTTTATGAGTTCAGAAAGTTTATGTTTTCAAAAGTTCCATAATGTGGAAGCTAATCAACTTTAGAGTTTTAATAAGTAGCTCCACTTTGGAACTATGTTATGTTAAGTGTGTTTTTAATTTATGTATTGTTTGATTGATAATAAGTTTACAATCATACAATGCTCGTGATTTTAAGTATAATTTGTTATTTTCATGCTCAACATTAAAAATGAGAATGTTTTAAAGTTTGGATCTCATAATTAAAAAAGATAGTCAAAGTACAGTCTCATTTAAGAGGGTAAATAAGCCAAGGCAAGTCAAATATTTAAAAAATAAGTTTGACTTATGGAAAATGAGAAATGCTCAATTTAGGTTTATTTATTTAAATAAGTTAATTTTAATGTTTAAATTTGATTTGATTAATGATTTTAAAGTTTGGATTTGACTCATTAATTTTTTTATAATTCTTTTTATAACTTTTGAATAATTTTTTATTAATTTAGTATTTAATAAATGTTTTTATGTTGAAAATTAAAATTTTTTATTATAAACTATATTTTTTTTTAAAAATATGATCACTTAATTAAAATATAATTATAAAAATTTAAAATAAATAAATAATATTTTATATTTATTTTAATAGTTATTTAAAATATAACTCTTTAAAATTATTATAAAATAATCATATTTCAAATGAAAAAAAATCGAATGCTTACATTTAGTACAATTTTTATTTTAATATCTTATATTTGTATATTAATTTAATTATTATATAAATTTTCAATCATTGCATAATTTTATGCCAAAAATATATGTTTGACAAATAAAGACATGCTTTAATAAGGGAATAACAGTTGTAAGCATACAATAATAAAAAAAAATGATAAAAGTAAATTAATAAAGTTATAACTTCATGCTCATATTTTAAGTTCCATCTCATTCCTCCAAAATTTAAAAAAAAAAACGTAAGTAATAAAATAAAATACATACATATATATATATGAACTAAAATAAATAAATAACTATTATCTTATAATTAAGTTAACTTTTATTAATACTTAACTTATAATTTTAGTATCTAACACTCTTCTTTAAGTCTAATTATCTTTTACTTAAACAAAATTTTAATCTCCCTTCTGGTCACATTGCAGTTGTTACGAATATATGCAGCCTAATGCGATTACTGTGGATTGCAATCGTTACCTAATACAATTGCAGCAACCCATGTTGCCAAGATCTTAACAATCACGTGATTAGAACCCTAGACTTAACGTTGATAACAGTAATAAATAGTAAAATAATTCATTAATCAATTAAAATTATGGATCATTAAATGGCTAAAATAATCCAAAAGCGAAATCTTTTTGAGCCATTTTTTCATTTTGACAGAAAAAAAATATAGAAAGCCTGGACTAGCCATTTCTCAGTTGGTTGTCGTTCATCATTTCTTAGATGATCAGATCATGTAATGAGATACAAACATTAATTTATAAACAGATAGCATGAATCTATATTAACAATAATACGGTGTATCATAATTATAATAATATGATTCCTTAACAATATATGTTACTTTTTTATAATAATAAAATTATTTATTAGTACAACGTGTCATATTATTAACTTTAATTTACAACATCTATTTCTATAAGAAAATGTTTATACCAACTGGAGCAAACCTAACAGCTAACCAATGGTGCATTTTTATTTGATTATGTAGTGTTAATAGATCTTTCTTAACTTGATAAGCATGTCTCATTGAACCGAACTGCGTTTGGATTTTGAAAGAAAGACTTTGCTTCGCAAGGATCTAAGTTATATTCGATATTTCATGTTCAAATATCAAACCACCTTCCTTTTCCAGTTTCTTAAAATCGTGTCATCCTAAGTTGATCTGAAAATTTAGGTAGCATCCTTGTAAAGGAAAAGTTTCCTTTGTGGAAGAAAAAGCTGTCTCTATCTTATATATATACACTAAAACACGCAATGATGACGATGATGACCCTTAGGAAAGCAAGTTCAACTAGCACACAAACGCAAACATGTAAATATCACCATAGTTGTCATCTTTAGAAAACAGTACAAATAGTAGAGAACAAAGAAAATGCTACCCAACTTTAGATTTTTCAAATCCATGATTAAGATATTATATATGTATCAATTTAAATAATATCATGGCAAGATCTAAGTGAAGATACGACAGATGAATTTTATGTGCACCACAAGACGATAATCAACTAGGGCAAAAGATAACTTATTGTCAACTTCAGTATCAAGCCAAGGGGTAAGTAATTAATTACAAGCCAAAGTTTTAAAGTTTGATCCCATCACAACTTAATTGGTGTGACATCATAGAAAAGAATAAGTATCTTTCATCTTCCACACTTCGTAGATGAATAGGCAGCGGCAGAGGGAAAGGCACACTTTATAAGACTTTTTTATATTTGCTTTAAGCCAAAGTAAAATTATTGCCTTTGCCATTAAATAAAATTTCGGAATCACTGTAGGTAGGTTTGATATGAATATATGCTTTTCCAAAAAAATTGTTGTCTCTACTTGCATGAAAATATTGCAATTTTTATTTTGGAAAATATAAACAAAAGACAAGTGAAAATCACACACGCTTATAGATATCATCATGTAAGGGTTTTATTTATTATTTTAAAAAAATAAACTTGTTTACTCATTTAAATTTTTATTATCAGATCTGACCAGATTGCGATGATAGGAAGACTACTTGATTTAATTTTAAGAGGAAAATTGACTTTTTCATTATTAAGATTACTTATCAATTTTTTTTGGGTAAATTATGTTACTTCAATGTATAAAATCTATCAATTAAGTAATCAATGTCAAGAATAAAAAATAATACAACATATAAAATGATAAAAATGTAATTTTAAAACAAAAGTTAGCACACTAAACATAAGAAGTGATCTTTATTATATTTACCTATTATGTTGATAAACAATAAATTATTAAAATTTTATGAATTTCGTTATGACGTGAAAATTATTCTTTATAAAAATTAAGCTTTGTATCACTTGAAACAAATTTTTTAAAACATCTGCACTGATTTTATTTAACATTTGTTAAAGTACACAAATTTCTTTATGAAGATTTTTTCATCAACTTTTAAATACTAATTATATATTAAAAAGTATTAAAATGTGAATTCAATTTAAGTATACTTAAGTCATCAAATCTTAAATTGACTCAAAAAAACCATTAACTTTTATAATAATTACTTTAGAAGTTATATATACAATACTTTTTATTCAATTAATAGTATAAAAAAAATTTTTCACAAACAGTGTACAAGTTTATCAATTAAATAAAAATGATTACAAAAACTAATTAATCAAACTTTTAATTGAATGATTGAATACTTTAGCTATAAACAGAATGTTAATATATATATATATATATATATATATATATATATATATTATTCACATAAATTAAAAATATCTTAGTTTTTAAAATTTTGTACAAAAAAAATGCTTTATTTTTAGACAAAAGACCCGGAACCTTTTTTCATAAATAAGATATTCATGAAGATATTTTAATAATTTAAAATTATCAAATTTAATGGAAAAAAATAATATCAACATAAATTTTAATAATTAAAAGGAAAACTAAAATGAAACATAAATAATTTAATTACTTAAAAAAAACTACTATAAATGGCATCTTTTCATGTCTTAAAACGACAGTTAATTGTGGTTGACATGCTGCTAATACATTAGTCATAACATTGAACAAATGTTGTAAGCATAATTAGCCACATTTTAACTCTCCTTTCAGCATGTAATGCAAGTCTTCACCTAACTAAGATTTCTTTGTATCACATGGTAGATATTAAAGATCTCAAACCAACAAAGTTGAGTGTAACTGGCAAATAACAAAGTCTTTTAAGCATTCTGATCAAGATTCGATTCCTAATCAAGTATCTGAAAAAAAACTTTGTTAATAGAAACAAAACCTACTTCAATAACTGATAGGCAACAAAGAGATTAGTCATTGACTTTCGACTGAAACAAACTCATGGTGCACACCAAAAAATGAAAAACAGATGATAAGGATGTCAAAGTGAGGAATCTAATGCTCCCTCCTAGAAGGAAGGCATGCATGTGTCTATATATAATATTGTTTCGTTGAAGACCTTAAGAAAAAATGGAGATAGACTAAAAAAGCTACCAAACTAATGTTCATTCTCTTCAATGTAACCTATATTACAGCCCTACAGTTGAAGGGTAAGTAAAGGGGACTCCATCACAAAAAGGGAGCAGCAGAAGGGTTTACAACAATGTGCCTAAGAGGGTGTGCAACATCCCCGCCGCCCGCATGCTTAACGAACTCGGCCGGCGAGAGGAAGTTTCCATGGCACACACACATTATCCTCACGTCCTCACCTTTACCATATTTGTACAAGATTCCCTCAATTCTTCTTCCATTAGGGCCATCCCCTTTTGTAAACACACAAGGCATGTCTTCCATTGAGTTTGTACCAATTTCCCTCCCCATTATATTTTTTGCAGGTTTCTTAGATCGATTCTCCACCTCGGCTCTTGAAGTCTTAGTCATATTTTCATTGGTCTTTGCCACTGATGAACCTGCAGCACCCTGGCTGCTTCGTTCTTGTATTGATTGATTACTAGCAGGGCTTCTTGCTTCACCACAACTGCTTGATCCTGTTACGTTGAGAAAACTACAGAATCAAATAGGATCATCTTCCTTTTCTAACTTTTGGTGTTTGTTTTCCTTTTTCAGCTAAGTAATACAATTATACCAAACCACAAATTCCATCTCTGAAGTTACATATGTTATTGCCAAAGGTACACATGCTCCAACTTCGTAAAGAAACAAATTCCACTTGCATAACTGATGTTTCAAAGAGAAGGTTGGCACAGACACAAAATGACACAGGAATCAAATGCTTAGAAGAGTATATTTGCTCCAACACTAGCAAAGTTTTGCTTCCTTTTGCTCCTTCTCTTTCTAAATTCATTTTTTGTTTTGTTATCCAAAAAGTGGTGAAATGTGAGAATCCTTGGAATACCATTGCAGGCTTTATAAATCAATTGGGGAAATATTTAGAAAATAAAGGAATGAAGTTGAGAAACTGTCAAAAAAAGGTTAAGTTCATTCTTGATCATTCCACAAATTATTTTAATTAATTCCAACACACAATTCAAGCTAAAATAAATTATTCTAACGTGCGGGTGCACGCGCACACGAAATTTCACATTTTAATTGAAAGGGAAATATTCATTATACCATCAGCAAAGGATGATCGCAATATATTACAAAGTTAAGAACTAGTGAGGATTAATTGCTATTATGCGGCTGCTATCCACAAATTAAAGGTTGGTATTCCTCACCTATGCCTGAAGAATGTCATTGATCATAAATGATATTATCCACCCGAACAACATGTTAAACTTGTCTACTAGCATTAGCCTGTTAGATGGTATATGTTAAAGCATAATGTTTTTTAAGCTATCACCTCATGTTAAACCAAATATAAAAGTGTTACCACGTGTTAAACCAAATATATTAGTCTAGAAGTAAACTCAATCAAATCGGTCAAGCCATATTTGTTTTGCCACTATCACACAGAAAATTCTCTGTCCTATTTTATTTAAACAAGTGACATAGATAAAGAGAATCCTTAGGATAGGATACAGAAAAATCGGAGAACAAAAAAAAAAAAAGTGGGCGATTGTAGCACATTTGTTGCCTTCAATGCCATCAGGCATAAGATTGCAAAGGTTATGGTTTCTAATCTACCCCAACCCAATCAGTGGCTCCCCTTTGTCCGTAGTATGATAGAAAGAACAAACAAGGAAAAAATAGAGAAAAATGACAAAAGAATATGTTGCAAACAAGAATGGCAATTCAATATTACAGTGATCTTCCAACATCAATGAGCATGCACAAAGACAAACCATCTGGGAGAAAATAACATCATATTTGAAACTCTCGTAAAACTGAATGACCAAAATAGAGCAAGAAGGTAGTATGTCGTCATTAAAACTGTTTTTGTCTGACACATGCACAGAAATCTAAGAACAACAAAAGTTACAAGTTCCAAAAATTTAGCAGAAGTTCAGATTCCATAACATAAACCAATTTTCAACAAGTGAGCATTAAAAGAACATTTAACATCTAGAAATCAGATCCAGACTGTATAATCCAAATCACAGTGCTTCACATACCAAAAGACAGATAAAATACAAAGTGTACCAAATTACTCTTTTATCCCTCCCAAATTTAAGTTTATCAGCACAAATAAAAGTGCTGAGAAATGAACAGCAGACGGGTATGTACAATTTTCATATTACGTCTGAAGAGTGAACCAAAAACAGCCATAATAGGAAATTTAATTCTCAATCTTGGTATTTTTGTGGTTTTTAACTTAAATGGCTAGAGTTTAAAATAGCACAAGTCAGCGTCACTAGAGGAAACTGCGTAAATTAACTACAAAGCCTGTAAAATCAGAACATTACACTAACACATTAGATTAGAGCAATGCGACAACTTACTTGAATAGAGGCAACCCAAGTCAGCTAACTAAGCTACATTGAATTCAAGAGCTTTTTTCATAAGTAAAGCTACATCTCTTCCCCTTATGGTGTCATGATTAATTCAAATATTAAGCTTCAAATGATGTTATTCAGCAATCATATGCAAGGGAAACTCCAAGAGACAGAATAAAAGTGACTACCATGCAAGGGAGGTGAAAATGAAAACCTCAAAATCAGAGTTTGACATACAAAGAATAATTTGTTTCAATCTGCTGCAGCACGATCAGTCCAATATAAAAAAGGGACTAACGCATAACAATAAAAGACCGAAAAGGAAAAAAAATTGCCTTCAGTTTATAACCATTCCAAGTTCTTAAAAATATAGAACGCAAAATTAATAAAGGAGGAAAAAAGAGATTGACGAGTTAATCGACTTTGGTTAGCTAAAATTCATCAAGTGTAGAAGAACACTCTTTAATATTAAATCTCACTAAATATTCAGCTCCCCTAAAAGCGAAGAACCAGAATCTACTTCGGTGTGTCACCTTCTTTAAAATTCAACAGAGAAAGTATGGGAACAAACAGCAACAGAATCAAATCTTTTTATACTATACTCTTTCCATCATCAACCTTGTTGGCAACCAATTCACATAATCCATGAAAACTTTAAAACAAGTAAGCCACACAGATAACCTGTTTAAAACAATTATAACAAATAAAAAGAAACAAATCAGAAACAGGCCCTCAAAACACAATCAGCACAGACCACCATACAAAGCATGACCTCAAACAACAACAGTCCACACCAAACATACAACTAATACAAGGCAAGTAGATATTGTAAACAAAACCAAAAAAGAGGGAACTCGTATAGATAGATATATATATCGTTCTCATATATGATGATAAATAATTAATTACCTAGAAAAGACTTGCTCTCCATTTCAGACACTGATGAAGAGCTTCCCCCTTGAGAATCTGCTGAACCCTGAGAAGATGGTTGTGCAAACAATCCCTGAAAACCCACCTTCCCTTTCCCCAATACATCACCAAGAACAACTTGCTTCGCCGCCACACCCCAACTAGGCAACACAAAAGGTGGTGGTGCCGCCGTAGAAGAACCAAACCTATTCAATCCCATTGTTGCACTTGCACCCTCCACTTCCTCAAAACCACCACCACCGCCCCCGCCGGCAACCTCTCTGGAAACTCTCTGCTTCTCCGACCGGCGTCTCTTGGCCTCCATCCGCCGCAGTGTCTGCAGCTCCTTTCGCCTCCGCCACTCCTCCTCAGTCTCCGTCGGCAACGACGAGGTCCTCATGAGGGTAGGGTAGGTCGCCGGCGGCGGCGCCACCGCGTCGTCCTCGCGGAACAGAGGCATTGTTCCCACCACAGAAGAGGAACGCATAAGCTTCTTCTTCTTGGCGTGCTTGTCCACCCCAAATCTACCACCCAAGGAAAGACCAAGGTTCAACTCAACCTCTTCATCCTCGTGTTCTTCTTCACCACGTTGATCATGATGGTGATGATGATGATGGGTTGTGTTATCATCACTACCACCACTTGATATAGCAAATCCTTGAAGCAAATCCCTCGGGAACTTCTCCATCTTCACACACATATTCTGATCATGCTGCTGCTGCTGTTGTTTTTGATGGTGATGATGATGATGATGATGATTCTCCATCAATGTCTATTACCAAACCCAGTAACATAAACCATCACAAGCTAGTTACTGTTCCAATAACGCTTACAACAAGCCTCGCGGGGGTGAGGTGAATGATTCAAATCAGCAAAACCCATGAAACAAAACATGCTCTTTCACCCAATGACGCAAACAATAGCACTCACCCAGATCGCAAAAACCTTCTTTTTTTTTTTTATTGAAACTGAGGGGGGAAATCGAAATTAATAGAATTTAAAAAAATGAAACTCTTCTCGGTCTGTTAAATCAAACCAGGAAGCAATCCCCTTCCCCAAAAAAATCGATTTTTCTTATACCCCTTTGCTTTGACAGAACAGAGGAATGCAACCCGGAAGGAGAAACGGGAGACTGAACAAGAAACAAAAGAAGTGAGGAGAACACAGAAGAAAAAAGAAATAGGTGTTATTTTCTCTTTGAGAAAGAGAAGGGGGAATAATATTTATGGGATGACGAAAATGCCCTTGGGATGTGACAAGTTGAATGAGAAATGAAAAGACAAGTGGCAATGGTGGGAAGGCGCGTAGACGACACGTGGAGAGTGTGACACGATTTTTCACTGCGGAATGGGGTCGCTGTCAACAACTTGTCTCGAGATGGAACACGTGTCGATTACAGGGAGGTAGTGGTCGAGTCGCCACGTGTCGGTGAAGATCCCGGGAAGGGATAAGAGGACGCGTGTCGTTAACGTGAATAATAATGAAAAATGATTTATAATTTGGCTTGTCCTCGTCCTCCTCGTATTGCAGCTGCTGCGGCTTTTGTTGGGTCGTGTCGCATCGTGTTGGGTCGTGTCGTGGCCTTCGGTTCCCACTTTCTCCAATTCGTCAAGCTCACTGCCACCCATGTGCCCTCCATTGTTTTCTTATTCATTAGCTGTATCCCATCATTAATTATTATTTTCTTTCAAACTTATTCTGTTTCTCTTTTTCCATTTACATCGCATTCCAACGCTTCTATTTTTTAATGTTTATACTCAAGATAAATAAATATTTAATTCAATTTATATATTTTATATTTTATTTATCAATTTAATTCTACAAATCAATATTACATCACATATATGTTATATTTCTGTTTTTTATACCTTTAAAATTTTAGATAAAAAATTTAACCATTGATAATTTATGAAATTAAATATCAACGATTAAAATAAGTCACAAGATTAAATATAAAGATGAAATATAATTAAATTTTGCCTTTTTTAATAAAAGGGCACGAAAATATCAGTGGTATACACGGTATAAAAATTTTGTGCTATATGTAATTTGTTGAATGTTAAAATGTGTGTGCGAGTTATTCGAAAGCAATTATTTAGTTTATTTTGGGTAAGATGCGAGTTTGACCTGTGTGTTTTTCTGACCAAAATAAGGATAAAATAAGATTTGTGAGTACGATTGATTGATGTGGTGTGAAAGCAGTTTCACTAAAAAAAAAATTAGAATTCTTTATTTTCAAAATGTAATTATTTGGAAGAAATTCGCGAATTTAACGTATAAAGTAGCAAGTATGTTTTCAAAGTGGAAGATGCGTGTTTTGTGTAACTTTTGTATAATAAAAATTAATTATACAATTTTTTAGAAAAAAGAAATTAAATAATAATAAGGTAATATAATCTTAAGTGAAAATACATTTGAATATTCAAATTTCTTAAAATGGTCATTTGTTTTCTCAATCTTCTCCTTGATAGTTACTGTTATTTATTTTATAATTAAAGAAAGGTTTGTTTGGAAGCATTTAGGAGTTAATTCATTCTTTATATCCTACAAAATATTTGATTAGAACATGTTCGAAATAAACAATATCTCATCCCATTCAAAATATGACACATAAGACCATGCATTGATTATGACTTTGGAGTTATGATAGCGTGAGATTCTTTTTTTTTATGCTGTCAAAGCATATATATGCTTACTAACTTAATTGAAATTACTCATTTCAGCTTAACCTTTCACTTTGTAGAATCTATATGTGGACACGTAAGCAAGAGTTTGTGTTATCTAAACCTACTTTTGTTGGGAGCAAAAGTTAACTTGCATTCAATTCCATTATGTTACCAAATAACATCAATCACACCTTTTTCTTTTCTTTTTTTCCAATTCAATGATGATTGTCTCATTTTCTCCTAGAAGGGTATGAGAATATGAGGCGTGTGTAAAGGAAAGAAAGATATATAAAGTGAAATAAAACATATTAAATACTTGTAATAAATGTAAAAAGAATATAAAATAACTTGAAAATCATAATTATTTTAAATTTATACAAATTATCGAGTCTTAAATTTAAGGGATGTTAGGAAATTTTCTACAAATTTTACGTATGTTTATGAAATAACTTATAAAAACTTGAATAAGTTATGTAATCAACTAGTCATTTAAAAAGTTTTGAAGTTTAACTATAAAATTTTACTAATATAAACTATAATGTACTAGCTTTTTTTTATTAATTTTAAAACATTTAATTCTTTTAGTTCTATTTATAAAGTTCTTTTAACTAGCTTATGTATATTAAGAAATTTATTTTTTTAAAAATATTATTTTTTGAAATTTTAATAATGATTAGTTTGATTTAAAGTTAAACTCTACTAACATGTTAATTAGTTTTATATTAAGGATTTTGGAAGAAAAAAAAAACTTCAAGGGATTCATATTAAAATGATTAAGGAATTTTTTTTTAAAAGAATTATATTTATATTTTTACCCTATGTATTTTAAAAGAGTTGTCATTTACCACTTTCCATAACATTAATTTTTTTATTTTAATGTTTAATAAAATATTTTATCTTTAAAGAAAAAAATTAAGTTTTAAGGGGACATGCAGCGTACAAAATATTTTTTTAGTTCTTGAGAATTATATCTTTTAAAAATTATAATAGAAAAATAGATAAATTAATACAATACCTATTAAATATCTTTTATAGATTGTGCGTTATAAATAATTTATAGAAAATAAATTTTGAGCTTCCTAATATGAAACGTAACTTTCAATTGTGAAACGTGTCCAGTGTCCACTTTATTGTACAGTTGCACGAGTTAACCTATTTTCTAATGGTTTCTTTTGTTTTACGTATATTTGCCAACAATGACAAACTCCAACTAACTCTTTCTCGCAGCGTCGTTCAACTGAATTTCGAATCTGAATCTGAAACATCCGTCAAAACGAACGGAGTTAAACCTCAAATGCAAATCAAAAGAGCCATCATACGTAGCGTCCGTTTATTCTCCACACAATCTCAGGACTCAATATTATGGTTGACCAAAAATAGCATCTTTCAGATGAGAAATAAGAGAAGAAAATATTTATATTTAAATTAGAAAAATTACAAAAAAAATATTCTTTTATATTTTTATCTCTTAATTTTATTTTATTAAATAAACTAATTTTTAATTTTTAAAATTTTAAAAAATTGCTTAATACGTTCGATTCTCATTTCTTTAATTTAGATATTATTTTTAGTCTATTTAATTTTCTTAATTTTTAACTTTTCAAATTAAATATCTCATGTTAAAATTTTATTTAATAATTAAACAAGTATAATAGAAATGATAAATCGTATACATTAAATATAATAAATATATTTTATTTTATTTTATGTTTTATGTTTTATGTATTTTTTAAACAATAAATTAATACTATGTCTATTTTTATTAATTATTCAATAAAAAATTAAAATATAAACTTAATTTCAATAATTATAAACTATAAAATTAAAATAAACAACTAAAATGAAAATTAAAAGAACAATTAAACCTTTTCCTAATTTTTTTGTTCTATCCAGGCATAGGGATTGGTCAAACAGAGCCACAAAATTGGCAAGTCAACGAGGGAGACCTAGTAGTGGTGAGTGACTTGTGACCGGATGAAAGGGTGAAGAAGGAAGAGCGTGGGACACGTCACGTGGTCCCAAACAAAGGGTCATGATGGAGGCGGGACCCACTTACCAAGTTGCACTTAATTTTATTAAATTAAAAAAGAAAAAGTGATAAGAAAAGGGTTTTGAAAAGAAAAGGACATGCAAAAGGACTGGTGTACGTGGGAATGCCACGTGGTTCACTGGTATAGGATGACACGTGTCAGTGCGGGTGAGGAGTACCGCACATCAATCAACAACCCGTGAGAGCGACTCTTGGGTGTCGCTGAGAGCCACCGTGCTTACGTCACGACGCGCACGTGTCACCTTACTTCATGTTTTAGAGTAAAGAGAGAGAAGTTCGGTGGTTGGTGGAAGAGAATGCACTCAACTAAAGAGAAAAATATTTCTAACACTTTTTTAATTTAGTTTTAATTAATTCTACTCCTCCCATATCAAAATAATTGTCTTCAAGGCTATATACAGCACAAACAACTTCAAAAATATATTCAATACAGTTTTTTCATATAAGAAATTATATAATTTTTATAAAAATATTAAATTTATTGTTGAAGATAAATTATTTATCATTTTAAAAATATAAAATTATTTTTATAAAAATAATACTAATTTTAGATACTTGATAACAGCTTTAAAAGTTGAAATTAATAAATTCATTTTATTGTATCATTTATATAATTATTTATTAAAAAATTTCACTTTAATTTTATTACACGTAATTATTATTTAAGAATAAAATTTAAACAATAATTAATTCTTCATTGTAAAGTAGTTAAGAAATAATTAGTATCTTTAAACGTACTCGTTGAAAAAATAATGGTATATGTTAAGTGTTAAATTGTTCTTTCTGTATATATAACTCACATGCAATAACTACAATAAAAAAGCTATCGTATAAATAATTCTTGTTAGAGCATGTACGTAGTCATTAGGAGTTAAATGTTGTATCACGTATAATAATTATGTATTGAGTAGGATAATAAGTGTTAAATCCTTCATCTGTGATAATATTTTATTAAAATGATAAAAATTTAAGTGTATTGTCATAAATACTTTTAAGTTATGTACATTCTTTAAACACGATTGAAGTTTTTGATAATGTATGTTAGATATTTAATGTTGATGTATATTTAACATTAAAATTTTAATTTTAATAGAGAATACTAACGAATGTAATATCATACTTAAGTTTCATCGAAGTTGAAAAATTAGTTAGTTATTAGCAAAAAATAAAATAAAATAATATTTAATTAATAAAGATTGATAACTCAGATTAAATTTTTAATATTTTGTTAATCAAATTAGTATTTAATTAATAGAAGTTAAAAATAAGATTAATACTACTTGTTTAAATTGTTAGAAACTAATAAAAGACTAATTACAGTAGCCAAAAAAATAAAATAAAAGACTAATTACAAATATAACAACCTTTATAAAAAAACAAAAACAAAAACAATAATTAAACCATTATTCATATATTTTTATATAATCAACAATTAAATTTCATTAGTAATTAATTTTTTAAAATTAAAATAATTTCTAAAAAATAGTATATTTAAAAGAATATATTTATAATAATAACATTATTCTTGAAAAAAAATAATGCCGATGATGCACGTGGACCAGCCACTACCCACTTATGTTGGGGATTCATCGATGACTCAGATCTGAATCAGATTCAAAATGAATAGGACAATTTGAGAGATCAAATAAAGGTCGAGTATATGTATACGTTCAATTCATTGATATACTACAATTAAATCATATACCAAATCTTTAAAATTACAATTTTGCATAAATACTAGTAGTAACTAATCTTAACTCACTAATAATTGTGATTTCAATATCCAACAAATTTAATGGATGTTAGGGTATTTACCAAATTAAATATTCATGAATTAATTATCATGATAAAAATATTTATAACTCTTTCGAATAGCTTATAAGAGAATTGAAAAAACAAGTAAATTACGTTAACTTTACCTATATAGGTGATTTTGCCATCCTAATCCCTCAAAGTGACAGTTACATAGCCTTAGAAGTAAATTTACTTTTTCTTTTCTTTTCAACGCTGACTTTTATAGTGTTTATTGTCACTTAACATGTATTTAGTTATTTTTCTATAATTAATTTGTTGTATTTTTCTCTAAAATATTATTTAAATCAAATAAAGTAGATAAATATTTCAAATAAAGTAATAATAAATTCATGAGAATAAGAAGACACTTCCGAACTTACAATCATTAGTTTTAATAGCCTCCTATGTCTGTAATTTATCATCACAAATAGAAAGTCTAAAAATCACATTCAAAAACATATTTGTATAAAAAACTATGAACTAAAAAAAGACAACTATCAACTCTATCGCAAACTCCTCATCACAACAAACAATTCTAAATTAGAAGCTAATTATATCTAAAAAAACACACACAACAACACAATTTTATTGTGTACAATACATTGCCACGATGCATGGATGAAAATGAAGTTAATTTAATAATTTAAAGGAGTAACATAATATTTTATTAATTTTTAAAATTTTAAATTAATAAAGAGATAGATTAAATATATTTTTTTATCTTCAAAATATATCAAATTTTATATTTTTATTTTTATATTTTTTATTTCAACCTCAATATTTTTAAAAGGTATTGATTTTAATTCTTAAGTTATTTTAAATGATAGCGTGATTAATTTAAATATTATTTTTATAAAAATATATCAATAAAAATAATAAAAACCAGTAATATTTGAAATATAAAAATTATAATAATAATAAATTTATAAATATTAAAATACAAATTCATTATATTTTTTGAAATATAATGAATTTGTATCATATGTTAAATATACCAACAACTAGTGCATGTGATCAAAGAATTTCATGAATCAGCCACATGTTGAAAATATTCTCAAACCAGTTGACCCTAACAGCAAGTTGAAAGGGGTTGTCAAATTTTCTATCTCACTAGTCTATTTTTGTGGAATGAAACTAGGTGGTGATGTTGATCTCATACAGCTAGCAGAAGATACAGAGCTCTTCACAGGTGCTGAACTGGAGCGATTATACAAGGAAGCTGGAATTGTAATTTTAAGGGAAGACATATAAATCTGCTACTGTTGATTGTGACCGTCATTTCCAGATATCAAAAAATTCTTTAAAATCAGCATTAACAAAAGCGGAAAATGATTCATACTCATCTTTTACGAAGACCTCATCTAGAGCTTTGCCTAGCCATTTTGAATGATCAGGTAAAAGCAAAAAGAATAATAGGTTGGATCCTTTGTCTTGGGTCAAAATTGGGGTTGTCAGCTGTGTGTTACTTGCAGCTGGTAAATACTATATCATGCATGAAGACCAAAGTGTTTGTAACATAGCTACCTGAATTCCTTTTGTGTTTTGTATCAATCCATTTTTGTCGTGTACACATAGCATTTGAGAGTAAAATTTCGAGACTGATAGCTTTTTTTTGTTATTTCATTCAAAATGTATTTATGGATGTGATTTTGTTTAATCCCGTTCAAATAATATCTTTGTATTTTTCACCATCTACGTGCACCATCTTGGTACTGTTTTCTTTTTTCTTTCACGTGTTTGCAAATCCCTCGTTCATAGAATGTTAAGATAAGCCTTTAGATATGATTTTAGGCATTAAAAATGACAAGGTATTATTAAGAATAGAAGGACTAAAGTCTCCTATCCCTATACTTGTAATTGCACCTTCAAAATATAGCTCAACGTAAATATTGAAGTTGTTAAAAAGAATGTAATGGTTACGTGTAGTAATTTGTTAGAGACAGTGTACTTGAAGCAAATGTCCAGAGGAAAGAGAAATACATCTAAAGATTTGGCTGATTTTGAGTGGGAATCAGGAAATGACACGAGATGTACCTACTTTTTCTATATAGTAAATAGAAGTATAGGGTTATAACTGGTGATTAAAAAATCAACTATTCAGATTTTAATAATTTTATATTTTTATGAGTATGCAATGTTGTGGGAATGTCGAAGGATAAACAAAAATTAGACAAAAAAAAAAATTTGTGCAAAACTGTATGTTACAACGGCTTTAGGTTAACGAAAAAATTAATTTTAACATTATTAATTTTGTGAGTGCATACACCAGCAAAATTTGTTTACAGGGACTTAAACCAAAATAAGTAATATTATGTGGAATAATAACTTGTTTAACCTAAAAATAATAAAATCATAAAGTTTCATTTTTTTCCTTAAAAAATTACACTAAGATGATAATATACCCTAATTTAAGTGAAAATGTGTTTTCATACTATCCAAGACAAAACATTTTTTATTGGACTAGTTACAAATGCATTCTCTGCTACTGAGTTATACTAGGAAAAATTAAGAAGTAAAGTAATAACTATTCATTAGCATTGAGTTAATACAAGTGGGTACCTTTTTAATAAATTGAATCAATGCATGAAGTGATAATTGACTTTGATTAGAGAAATATAAGGAGTAACAAATTAAGTATTTGAGTCAACATTAAATCTAAATTCTTCTTTTTACTTTTATCAGATGAATATAAGAGTAAAAATTAAGGAGAAATATAAGGACTAAAAAATAAGGATTTAATTATAGTTTAACTAAAGTATTTGATTAGGAGAACCATGAAACATTCTAGTCAAAATAAGTTTAAAATTTTCTCTTTGATTTGGTTGGTATTTTTTAGAAATTATTTGATGGATAATTTTGAGAACCTAACTACTTTGGTTGTGATAATTTAAAAATATTGTTTATGTGAAATTAGTTTAAATGATATGAAAAATATCCATAGATTTTGGTTGCTATAATGAGATATTGTACAAGAGAGTAATATCATTTCATTCTTGATCCAAAGTAATAAGTACACTAAAACTTGGAATAGAGAAAACAAATATTATGATTGTAAAAGTTTTTATATGTGATACATCTTTTTATTTGGTTTATGTATAATTTTTATATGAATAAATATTTTTAGATTAGTTAATGTCATTTATGTATTGGCATTATTAAATGAAAGGAATTAAAATATTTAAAAATGCTTATATAAAAATTAAAATGTAAATTTTTAACTATAAAAATTAATTTATAAACAAGTGTCAATTTTAAAGATTAAATATGTATTTTAACTAAAAATTTAAAAATAATAAATTTATTTAAAAAATAAAAATAGATACCAAACAAAAATATCACAAAATTTTTAATAAAAAGGATGGTTTTATTTTCCAAAATTATAAATTTTAAAATATATAACAGAAGTAGATTGTTTTGAAAAATATTAAAGATTTTTTGGGTCTTAAATACAGTAAATATTTTTAATAAAATAATAAAATATCAATTTCTTATCTCGCTCACTTGCTACATAAGATAAAAAAAATTATAAATTTTGGTGATCATGGAAGTAAAATATACTTAATTTTTATTTATAATAAATTTTAAATACGATGGCATAAATTTTATATTAAAATATAAGATAAAATATGCATTTAAAATAAATTATAAATAATAATATGATTTCATTAATTATATTACAATTATTAAAATCATATTTTATATTAATAATTTATATTAAAATCCTAAGATATTTTAATAAAAAATTAAAATAGAAAATATAAAAAATTAATTAAAAATGTTTAAAAAAAAAGAAATAGCCTAAAAAGTATATTAAAAATGTATTATGCTACTTTAAACAGTGTGCTGTGCCAAAAAGAAAAAAGAATAGTTGCAAAGCAATTTTATGGGTTCACCCTGAACGCAGTAGAACACTAGCGTGGCTGCAATCTCGAGTTGTGTTCAGTTGCAGCCATTATGCCTTCAGTCCCTCGGGGAACTCCATCTGCTAACTTCTCCAATCGCCAAACCCAATTCTCCGCGCGGTACTTAGGGTTTCTAATTCCATATTCACAACCACTTCCACTGAATCGCGTTTTAAATTTTTGTAATATTTTCTTTCGCAGGAGGCAGAAGATTGCACAACAGAGAAAGGCTCTTCCGATTGCTTCAGGTGTCTATTCTATTGCTTCACTTTCATGTTCTTACTTTCAGCTTGTGCTAATGTATATATAGTAATTCAGAACGTGCTTCTTAAATCGCTTGTATTGTAGTTGAGAAAAGACTGGTTGAAGAAGTTAGGAAGAACGATGTTTTGATTATTGTTGGTGAAACTGGAAGTGGAAAGACCACGCGTAGGTTACATCTTATCCTTATGAAGTGGTTATTATTGCAATATTGTTTTTCAGAAAATTAAGTAAAGAGGTTTTAGGGGTAGTGGCTTTATTGTGTTGTGTTGTGTGTGTAGAGATTCCACAGTTTCTGTTTGGTGCGGGATTTTGCCGCGATGGAAAAGTTATTGGGATAACTCAACCTAGACGTGTGGCTGCCGTCACTGTGGCCAAACGAGTTGCGGAAGAATGTGGTGTTGAGTTGGGCCAAAAGGTTGGATACTCTGTTAGATTTGATGATGCTACTTCCGGCTCGACAAGAATTAAGTATATGACTGATGGATTGCTTTTGAGGTACAAGTTTTGTGTAACTTGGACTACTTGTTTGCCTTTTCCGTTAAGATTAATTTTATAACCTGAATAACTTTACTGGGAACATGGACTACGAAAATGTGATGCTATAATGTTTTTTTCCCCTTCTTGATGCCAAACAACAGAAGATATTACATCATGTAATTTTCGGTGAAGTTTTTCATTTTTATTTGTGTGTGGTCAGTGGGATTTAATGTGTGGTGAATCATGATCACCTCTCCCTCCCCCAGTCCCCCTCTTATTGATGTGAGTTTAAGATGGTTATGTGATTTGAAGCTGCTATAGAGATTTCAAATTGTAGTATCTTGTTTCCCATGGTTTTATGAGTACAGGTTTTTATACAGGAGAGTTGATATGCATTTCATTATGCTTACAGGGAAGCATTGCTGGATCCATATCTTTCTAAGTATTCTGTTATAATTGTTGATGAAGCCCATGAGAGAACTGTTCACACTGATGTCTTGATGGGCTTGCTGAAAAATGTACAACTTGCTCGGTCAAATTCTATCAGTGATGGTCAGGGTCTTAATTTTGGTATCAAGAATGTGAATAGTGTAATGTCATCAGAGAAAGAAAATGATCAGAGTAGCAATTTTCTTAAAAAGCATCACCATGAGAAGTGTGCTTCATTGAAGTTAGTCATAATGTCTGCAAGCCTTGATGCACGTGCTTTCTCTGAGTACTTTAGTGGTGCCAAAGCTGTGCATATCCAAGGGAGACAGTTTCCGGTGGATATATTTTTTACTCGCCATTCAGAACCAGATTATTTAGATGCTGCCTTGATAACAATATTCCAGGTTATTGGTTTAATCAGTCCATGCAATTTAATAATATGATTTAACTTTTATTTTAATGTTGAATTTTGTATCCCAAATGGTGCATCAGTTTTGGTGCATTGGTTCTGCATATGCTTTTATGGTATTAGTTATTTACTACAGTTTCATACATCATGGGCATTAAATTTTTTTGATTTTTTTATTTTTGACTGAGCTCAATAGTGTGATTCATGTATCCAATTTCACCTAAAGGGATAAGGCTTAGTTGTTGTTGTTAGTTTTTCTTGGTTATGATAATTTTTGTTCGTGCATAACATTGTGGTAATGAATGATGAATAAAGTTCATAAAATTTTTTTGCTTAAAGTTATATTCCTCGATGTTATAGATTCATTTGGAGGAGGGCCCTGGTGATATACTAGTATTTCTGACTGGGCAAGAAGAGATTGAATCTGTGGAAAGGCTTATCAATGAGCGGCTCACACAATTACCTCAAGGAAATCAGATGCTTCTAGTTGTGCCTATATTTGCAGCTCTTCCGTCTGAGCAGCAAATGCGGGCCTTTGCACCAGCTCCATCTGGGTTTCGGAAGGTACCCTTCCTAGGCATTTGATCCTTCTTTCAATTGATGTTTTATTTGTGGGTAGAACGATAAAAAAAATTAGGAAAATAGATTTTGCTCAATCATTTGTTAATCTGTTCTTATTTTTTAAGCAGTTGACACATTTGGTTTAGGTCTGTATTCATTCTCTTGAAATGCCCTGTTTTGTCTGATAATGTCTACAATTTTAAAGAATGCTGGTCGCCTTATTTAGAATCCCAGTAGGTTTTGGACGTATTCATATGATTTCATATTGCTTTGTTTTTAATATGCAACTTTCATCACTGGAAGTTCATTCATGATTGATAACACTCGCTTCCTTACCACTAATCATTAGCATGTAGACAGCATTATGCACTTTGAACATACCCCAGCTCCTTTGATGCCTGTTTCAGGAGTAATGTCAATTCTTTCTGCGACATATTCATTTGCTGCTTCTGTCATTTGCACCACTCCTGCTAGCTTTCACACTGTGTATATGAACTAATGGTATGCCATTATTGAACACCCATCATCATATGACCTATCATCATAAAGGGTCACTGCTACTGCTATCATCTTTGCCATCACCTCTACTGCCTCTAATGTTTTATTGGTCTCAGTGCTTCTCCTTTAGAAACTATCTCATTTGAACTGCCTATGATCCCTAGAGATAGTGCATGGATATAAAAATCGTGTCTGCTGGACCATAAAATTTTCAACTTTAGCATCACCTATTTAATGTGAGCTTATGTATATATATAATATAATTATGAGAGATTAATATCATATCAGGTAATTTCTTGTTTTTAATTGTATTCAACTTAGCCCTCTGTTGTTCTTGAAGGTGATATTGGCAACTAATATTGCCGAGACATCTGTAACAATTCCTGGAATCAAGTTTGTAATTGATCCTGGATTTGTTAAAGCACGTTCTTATGACCCTGGAAAAGGCATGGAATCCTTGATCATAGTACCTACATCCAAGTCCCAGGCTCTGCAAAGAAGGTACGGTGGTAGATTATATTTGAGTCTCTTTAATGTTTTAACTGTTGCTTGCAAATATTGGCCGAATTAATTCAGTTAATGCAACACCAAGTAAGTTTGGCTCAGTTTAATGATGACTATCTTTTGATTTTTCAGTTCAGTTTCATAATAGACACGTTTGGTTTTCCTCAAAAAGAAAGAACATGATATTTCATAACAAGGACTTTCTAGATGTGACTCCAGCATCTCTGTTTCTACTACATATTTAATTTTTTTATATAGTATGCTTGCGGATGCATGTCTATTTTTAATTTAGTTTATTGGTGAATATGGAGGATAATAAACCTTGTAATACATTTTTTCATTAAAAAAAGAAAAGAAAAAGCCTTGTAATATAAAGCATTATTTTCGTTATGGATAGTTTTTTCTTTTTAAATGTTATTTTGGTTATAATGAAATGATTGATATGTTATTTATACAGATAATTTTAGCTAAATTATCTTCATGAATTTAATATATATTCAAATAATTTTACTGGAAGAGTTGTTCAAATTGATTATTAATATTGACTTTTTGGGATTAGTGGCCGTGCAGGGCGTGAAGGACCTGGAAAATGCTTCCGTCTATATCCAGAAAAAGAATTTGACAAACTTGAGGATTCGACAACACCAGAGATTAAGCGGTGCAACCTTTCTAATGTTATTTTGCAGCTTAAGGCTTTGGGTGTTGACGACATACTAGGGTTCGATTTCATTGAGAAACCTTCAAGGTGAGAACCTTCTAGAATTTTGGTTTGGCAGGTTCTCTGTATTTGTGGGGTTCCATATTTTGCTGATAAATTCTCTTGATCTTGAAAATTAAAGTGATTGAAGGGGTAGCTAAATATTATTCATGGATAGAAAGTATAAGAAAGGTATGGCATTTATATAAATAAATAACCAAAAGTTAACAGAAATGCTGTATATATTATTACAGAAATGCTTTTAGTAATATTTATACACTGATGAGGTAACTCTGAAGAATCTAGAGACCACACCTACCAAAACCTTCCTTGGACCATGACTTGCACTGAAGTGTACCTGTAAAGATAAATCTCTATGAATCTGATTCTGCAAATTTCAAAAGATTTTTAACTGTGTTTTATCAAGAACTTTTGTGCCCAATGGTGGAAACAAATTTAGGTCAAGGAGTCTAAATAATTATAAAATGTATCATAGTAAGTGAGATAGTAGATGAAGTGTGTATCTCCCTGTTCACACTTCAACCCGTTTGTTTTCAGACCTTGATAGCCCAACCTTTATTGCCTGATCCGCGAATTTTCCAGCCAAGCATTCATGTTGTTGCCAAGCTCACCCATTTAAAGCTTCCTCTGTTCTGCAAGACAACTTTCTTTGTCTTTTTGGATTTTTTTTATTTTTTTATTTTCCCATTAATGGCTTTCTATCTTCTACAACAACCATCCATTTCCTTTTTTGTGACCTATCTCTTTTATATGGTTGGTCTATGGATTAGTACTAGCACATGCGCTTCCAGCTTTTTTAGGTTGTCATTTTATTTTTCAATCTAAAACACTTAGACAGCTTACTGTATGAAAATCATTGCTGTCCTCTGTTTTTCTTTTCTTTTGTAATTGACTTCATTGTCTCATTACATCTCGGTATTGCAGTTTTAAAAAAACAGAGGAGAGATAACAGGGCCTTTCTAAATTGTTTCAACTTAATTATGACACATTATAGACAGCTCTTTTGTTTTCCTGTTGTTGTGTGTAGCATGTTCTGCACATATGTTTGGTTCAGTTTATTTTGAAGAAATAATTGCCTTATTTTTATCAGCTTCCTTAGAGAGCTTTCGAAAAAATAAGTGATTATTTTCCTTGAAATAAGTTGTTCTAAACATTCTATTAGCAGTTCTTTACACACCACTATTATTTTTTTGTTGCATTGCTCTATTTTTCTATAAATTCTGTCATCAAATTTTTTTTCCAAACTTTTTTGTTATGTTCTCATTTCTCTAACTGTCATTCAAAGCTTTAGTGCATGTTTGGGAAGGATAATTTTCCTTAAAATAATTTTTTTTTTGTGTGTGTGTGTGTGATTGCATCAGTCATTACTCATTAGTGAGTTAAACTAAAATATTTGAAAAATATTTTGATTCTCTCTGTCACTGTCTCATGTGTTGTACTCCAGAACTGATTTGGCATTTTTTAGGGTTCTTTGTTACTATAATTTCTAAATGTATTTTCACCATGCAAAGTACTATCAAAGCTTGAGCGTATCACGTGTTTGAACAGGGCAGCTATTATAAAATCATTGGAGCAGCTATTTTTGTTAGGCGCTCTAACAGATGACTGTCAACTATCTGATCCAGTTGGACATCAAATGGCTCGACTGCCCTTGGATCCTGTTTATTCCAAAGCTCTTATTTTAGCTAGTCAGTTTAATTGCTTGGAGGAGATGTTGATAACTGTTGCAATGCTGTCTGTGGAATCCATATTTTATGCTCCTCGTGACAAGTTAGAAGAGGTTTGAAGACTGAATTCTGACTGTAGTGTATTCCTATCATATTCTCTTTCGATGTTATGATGAAGCATAATACAAGAATGCGATAGTGATAACATACTAACACTATTCTATCAGCTCTATTAAGTATTTAACAGAATATTTGTAAATATCAAATGAATGGTTTTAATTTATGCAATTGGTAATGATTGTAAGAAGGTTCCGGTCTTTATATATTTTCATATAATACTCTTTCCCTCATCCTTGTTCTTATTTAAAGTTTTTGTGTTTCTACCCTTTTTGACCAGGCAAGAACTGCAATGAAATGCTTCTCTAGTTCAGAGGGAGACCACATCACTTTGATTAATGTGTATCGAGCATCTAAGGATTTCTTGGAGAAGAGATCAATGGAAATGAGTGCTACAAAGAGTGAAAAGGTTTTGAGAAAATGGTGCAAGGAAAATTTTATTAATAGCCGGTCTCTTAGACATGCTCGTGACATTCACAGGTAATGTCATTATGTTTAAGACTTTAAGCTAAGTATCAAGGTATTCTTTATAATGCATTTATGCCTTCTCATTTCTAGAATACTTTTTGCAGGCAGATTCAGGGACATGTTGAACAAATGGGTTTGAGTCTTTCTTCTTGTGGAGATGATATGCTTCAATACCGCAGATGCCTTGCTGCTTCCTTTTTCCTCAATGCAGCTGTAAAGCAGCCAGAGGGAACATACAGGTATTCAATTAAACTTAGAAATTCTTGGGCTAGCCTGTCTGGGCAGCTTGCTTTCCACTCCCTCCGTAATTAGGGCAAATTCCATTCTTTTTGTTTTGAAATTCCTTATTGGAATCCTTACCTGCATGTATAATTGTTCATTTATTGCTGTTACTTCTACTTCTATAACAAAGACTCGTTGCTTGGTTACGTGACAGGGCTTTGGCAAGTGGTCAGGTGGTGCAGATCCACCCTTCTTCTGTATTATTCCGGCAAAAACCAGAGTGCGTGATATTTAATGAATTGGTCCAAACTAATAATAAGTATGTCCGAAATTTAACCAGAGTGGACTACTTATGGTTGACCGAGCTGGCGCCTCAATATTATGCTGTGCAGAATTAAATTCTTGATGTTGCCACTAAACAGGTGACTAACATTACCGTTATTTTGATATTTTGATATCTTTTGTTAGCTCAATCTTGTTGGTTGGTTTTTTACTTCTACTATGTGCAAAATTGACGGTTTACATCCCTCATTATAATCTTGTAGGGAGATTGGCACGCTGTGTTACATTTCTTGAACTTTTTTTTTTTTCCTTTTATTTTTGGTTGTGTGATCTTTAGTTCTTGAGGATTTCTTATCCTCTTGTATCTTTGTTTGCTTATAATATATATATGGTCGTCACTCGTCACTGTTCGACCAAATAATATAGCGGAGAACAACTGCTTTAGCCCATAGATGCTTCCTCCTCATTTCTTATTCGAAATAAAGTTGATCTATTTACCTTGCAATAATGTCATGGTTCTACTTTCTGCCCAGAGACATTATGGACTCAATGAAACTGCTAATTTCTTGTGCAGTCAAAATTCCTCATCATCTAATATCTTATGCACGCCAGTCCCCAATTCCTGCACCCCAGAAAAAAAAAGGGAACGGGGGGGGGGGGGGGGGGTTGGACAAAATCATTAGTTTTGGACTGTAATTGCTGCAAAAACTATATATTCTTTCTTCATATATTTGGGCTGAAATATTTGTTTTGTATATTATAGGTAATTTATCTGTTGGAACAGATCATTGCAAAGTTCAGATTATGTCTGGCCACTGGTTTGTGGATCTTTTTGTAATGACAACTTTTTAAGGGGCTTGTCTTTGGCATTTGGTATCCATTGGATCCCAGGGATGTAGAGATGCCACTCAGTTCTCCAGTGGCAAGCACTTCTTGCAGGGTAGCTGTCGCGTTATTTTCTCTTGGGCAGCTGTGGCTACTGAGATTGAGGAACGAGTATGTGGTGCCAGTGGGGGTAGGGTACACCTTACTGTTGAGACCTAATTGCGGTGATGACGTGCAACGGAATTACTTAACGAACTGAAACTTGTTTACAAGTTGTTCAATTCAAGGCATTTGACCTAAACAAGGAAAATTTTAAAAAATATTTTTAATTAGTTTGGTCTGAAAGTAAAATACGGAAATTGGTTATTTGAACAGTAAAAAAGCAAAAGCAAAATAGCAACACATTAAAGTGTGGCATCTGTTACACTTCGGTGTGTGGAGCTAGATGAAAAGTTGTCATGTTAGTTACAGCGTTGGCTGCGTTGCATGAAAAGACGCAACATTTCCTGCTTTTGACACATGTCACACATGCATGAGTCAAGCTAAGTAGAGAAGTGTCACACCGTCGAGTCCTCCCATAAAAAAGATTTGGGTCTGGTCTTTTGAGGAAGCTGTTTGAAGATTTTTTACATATATAGCGAATCCGTTACTTTGATAGTGAAATTAATTTGGAATATGAATAAATGTTAATGGTATTTAAAATAATAAATTTTTATATTTTACTATATTTAAATATTAATTTGTATAATAGAATGGTATTTAAAATAATTTTTAAATAATTATTGGATTTTGTAATTATAATAGTATAATAGTAAAAAATCAAACATTAAGGCTTTGCTGGAGAAAATTGATTCAACGATAATTATTGTTTGAAAGTTTTAAGATGAGAAACAGGTTTTATAAATTCTTTTAAATTTATATTTTTAAGTTTTTTAATTTGGAAGATTTATTATTAATTTTCCTTTCTCTTCTGTTTTCTTCTTCTTTTTTTCATTCTTTAAATTATTTTTTATTATTTTTTAAAACTTTCAAATAAAGTCTAAATTATTAATATAACGTGTGTATTTTAATTTGAAATTACGAAGTTTAAATATTTGGATTACATGCATTTAGGTTTAAATGCATAATTGAATATAATTTTAATGTAGGAATGATATCTTCACAATCACGTGATATTAGGACAAGTTTAGATGATTCAATATTATTGAAATTTCAAAATATACACGGATATGAACATATGAAACAACGTTGATGATAAATATTTTAGTTGAGGTAAAAACATCATCAATGGCATAATGATGACAGTTTGCCACACTAAATAATTTTTCGTTTGAGATGAACAAACTATTTAGGTATTGTTTAGTTGTAATTTTTTCGAATTAAGGTAGATTTCATTTTTGCATTAGTAGAGAGGTGAAGATTGGAGAGACTATTTTCACTTATCACTAGAAGACTAGAGGATTGTACTGTCACATTCCAAGATATTTAAGTTGGTTTTATGTTAATTGTCGACTAGTAATTAAAAGCACATTAAGTGAAATGTAATTATCATTTGTAGAATTGTTCTTTACTTGTGAATTTGATCATTTGCATCATCAAAATACTTTAGTAACTAACTCATTTTTATTAATCTGCAATGCAATTCATCTTGCATATCACCAATAACTACTCTATAAATAAGGACCACATTTTCAATAACTTGTCGTTGTCGATCATCGATATATAAACTAACTTTAATAGTAATATCTTGTCTAAAAAATTTACTTGTTTCAAATGCATGATTATGTTTTTAATGATGTAGCTTCCTCAGCTTTAAAATTTTATCTTAAGTACCATTATAGATACATATATATATATATATATATATTGAAATTTCAATAATAATATGCAACCTAATATCATGCGACTGTGACAAAAAGGTTATTCATGCATTCAAAAACATATTAAATAATGCAAGTAATAATACTATCTAAATCTCATAATTTTAAAATAAAATACATAAACTATAATAATAATTTAATATTTTTACTACTATAATTGAAAAATAAAATAATTATTTTACAATTGTTTAAATACAATTCTAGTGTACAAATTAATATTTAAATATAATATAAAATTAATTATTTTAAATACAATATAATAGTATTCATATTATACTAAATAATATTTATTTAACTTTAACTATTATAGTACAATAATATTTAACTTCAAATAATATATAAATATTTATTGCAAGTTTGCAACTGATTAAGATAAAAAGATAATTTAACAGTATCATTATAACATCAATGAACATACAATTATATATTACTTAAATAAACATATTCTTAACATAAAATAATAACATTGAACCGAAAAATACATTATGAATTTTAATTAGTAAAATAAAATTAATTTATCATTTTATTTAAAATAACATTTACAGATTATAATTTATAATTTTTTTATTATAATGAAATATATTTTTAATAAATATAAATTTTATTACAAGATAACACTATCATAGTAAAGGTTAACTATATATATACATATATAAACAAAATTGATAAATTTTTTTTCCTTTGAGATGTCATACTATTTTTAAAATTTCTCCCTTTAGGTATTAAATTTTTTTTTTAATTCAACCTCATTTATTTATTTTGTTTGGAGGCGGTTGATATTTGATCATTAGGCAAATTTCCTTAGTTATCACTGAATACTCACTATCTATCTACAGGATAAGGACCGGTGACATTATGGATGCTACGTTATCATTGACACACCTTGTTTCCACAAGCTTCGGTTGCATTCTATTTGTGATGATGATAACCTGCGTCACTATTAACCGCTCCTTATCTTTCTCATGATAAGGGCTATCATCGGCACTGCAGCTTAATATAACAATATTGAACCGTAATTTCATTCCAAATTTGAGTAATACTTGGTAGGACTCTGTCATTCAAAATGGAAGATTCTATAAGGCAAGGAGTCATTAAAATCAATTTCTGATAACTTCTATTGATTTAGAATAAAAATAGCCATTAGATATTAGATAATTTTGTTTGCACTTCGATTGATGAATTAAAAAAGAGTGAAACCAAGAAAGTGTTGTTGCTATAAGATTATTGCTATTTTGGTTTTGTCATGTGCTCTCTATAGAGTACAATTGGCCCGCAAGCATCATGTTCCCGAACTTTTCAATTGTTTTTCTAATTAAGAGGTACAGAAAAGGTCAAGTGGTGAATCGGATGGGGCATGGGGCTTCTCAATAAACACGTCTTGATCAAAATTTAATGCGAATAGAATAGAAGGTATTCCCTATGCTTTCTTAGGAATGGTTCTTGTTCATTTGCAGGGACATTGGGAGGCAGGCACTGAGTGGTGGTGGTGTTGTACCTCTTCTGCACCTTCCATCGTGGGCATATATCCCCTTGAATTTGATTTAAAATGGCTGTGATGGAACAATTTGTTGTGGTCTGGACAATTTGCTTAACTTTGAAGTCCAAAGTTCTTCATGATACTAATAAAAAACACTCAAGATGTGGAAATTTATCACTACGCATTCATATCATTATGAAAGTGCACTGCACGGAGCACACACTGGTTGGGTATTCGAGAGAAAATCTGTTCACCACATCCTTATCCATATCCATTATAAAGGGTGACTAAACAACTAGTATTTAATACTTCAATTTTTGTTCTCTATTGTACTAGAGTTTAAATATTTATACACACACATCTGTAGGTAGATCATTTCTTGCTGAGTAACATGACACGTTTGTGTTAAAAACAGGACAACAAATATATAAAAAATAAAAATAAAAAATCGTTATCATCATCTATTAATTAAACTTGATAAAAAAAAACTATCTTTAATATGATCATCATTTGTTACTCAATAAAATGTATAAAGGGATTCACATTCCTATTACTTATAGTGTTTGGTTGAAAAAAAAATTCTTTTGAAAATTTTCATATTTGATTCATGTTAGAGGACAGAAGGAACTAAACTCTTAATTTGTTTACAAATTAAATCTATCACGTTGTTAAATTTAAAAAAAAATCTTTTAAAAATTTAACAAAATTGTGAGGTTAATCTCATAAACAAGTGATACACTCACATGGCAAAAGAATAAATAATAAATTTACAAGGTTAAAAGATAAATTTAATGTTATTTTAAACTTTTAAAAGTGATAAATAAATAAAAATATTCTTAAAAGGAAACAAATATAAAAAACAGAGAAAGTGATCTAGAAAATAAAATCCGCCTGTAATTATTATAATAAAAATGCTTAATACAAAAGATAACGACTTGATAAGAATTTATCAAATAATCATATAATCACATATGTAAATAAAAAGACTGTCATAAACCCAAAATTTCAAATCTTTTGTAAGAAAAAGTTACAATTTATTTATTTCTTAATTTATATTTTTGGGTTCGATATTCCACCTTATTTACACTAAATTCAAGCAAATTCATTAAAAACAGTTTTTTTTTCTTCAAAATTTAACGCATCTATATTCACAACTAACATTTAGCACACGGGTAACGGGTTAGAATTAGACGAAATAAAACATGTAATAAAAAATGATATATTTCATTTTCACCTTTTTTAATAAAATAAAAGAAAACAGAACACAGGCACAAACTCAAAAAATTGATTAAATTATTATAACATGCGATTTGATCTGCATAAAGAGTAAATTTTTATTTATATTTAAGAGATGCTAAGAATATTAATTAAAAAAATGTAAATGTAATTTTTATTATAAAAATATTATTTACATACCCTACTATATTCTTTAATTTAATTCAATATAATTTAAACAAAAATATTTATTAATTTTTAATCAGTATTAAAAAATTTATATTTCTATTTGAAAAAACAAATTTATAAATAATTTATTTGAAATGTGTGGAAGACTGACAGTGTGGAGGTATTTATAATGCACACAGCACATCTCATAACTTTGCCTTGGCCTTTCCGTTTTCCAGATCTGTTCCTTCCTCACCCACAGCCACAGGTAATCTCTTTTCCTTCTCCGATTAGGGTTTCGAGTTTCTCTTCAATTTCCCCTCCAATTTCGCTGTTAATTTTCCATTTCTCTTCTCGATCTGCAATTCGCATTTCCTTTGATTTGCGCGCTCCTTTCCATGGTCTAATCTTCCTGTTCAGATCTATTTTCTACTTTTTTATTTTTAAAAATCTCTAACTCCGGGAAATTGTAAGTTTTGATGTGATGGAATTTTTTTTCTTATTTATTTCAATTGATTTGATTTGATACAATTCATGGCATTGCCCTTGTGCTTATAGTTTGAAATGTGAATGATGATACTGGGCTAGTTAGAGAGCGTAGATTTTTATTCCTCGTTCTTTTTAATTTTTGGGGCAAATTCCTTGTCTTGCATGTATGGGAAGGGTTATTGTGAATTTCAGTTTCGGATTGTCAATGGAAGGATTGCTGAAAGAAGGAATAACTATAAAAGGGGGAAGGGAAAATTAAAAGGAGAGATGGAAGGAAATGGGTAGGGTTGGATGTTGTCTGATGTTTTGTGGTTCATTTGGAAGATTATAAGCAATCAAAAGATTCGATACATAAATATAATAGAATGCCTATGTGGAAAAACAATATGTGACTGGTTATTCCGTTTTAAAATTCTGCGCTTGCTGCTTCTGCTATATTGTACATTGTATGTTGGCTTTAGAATTGGATAATGGATAAGATGTTTCTCTAGATGTTTTCAATGTGCTAAACACATTGGTTGCAAGATGGTAAAAATGTGGTAAATTAGGAAACTCCTGGCAATCAGTTGTTTGTTTCAGCTTGATCAATTTATCTGTGGTTTATTGTTACCCACTTTCTAGCTGTTGCTGATGACAGGGTGTCCGTTGCAGAAGGAAATGATAAAAGTATGTGCTTGCTGTTTGAATGCAAATTCAAACACATTTGATTAATGTTCACTGCTAACTTTGCAGTGACTCTCATCTTAATAAATATTTGTAGTTTGTCACATTATTTCTGTCCTTTCATTTGTTGTTATGCTCCTTTTGTTACATTTTATTCCATGTGATTATGTGATCTTCTTTACCCGTTTGAAGGCTGAGACTAGACTGTACCTTTTCAGGAATCAGTTGAAGAACATGGGTCGTGGAGTTAGCAGCGGTGGTGGTCAAAGTTCATTGGGTTATCTTTTTGGCAGTGGAGAGGCCCCAAAACCAGCAACAAATGATGTCCAACCTGAAGTACAGACTGTAAATAACGAGCCTCCTTCAAAGCCAGTTGCTCCTATCACAATAGACCCAAACAAGCCTGCTGGTATCAATAGTCATTCTACAGATGGCCAGAACACTGGCAACTTCATCACGGTAATATGTGTGCTTGTTTATGTTGTATCCAATTTCTTCTTTTCCAAGTGTTTATAGGTTACGTAGTGTGTCATAAATCAACTATCCAAAAGCTTAGCTGTTAGATGAAGACGCTTGAATTGTTTTATATTAATTACATTACTAACACTCTGAACTGCTCTGCAAAATTATGAATATTAAAGCATAGGGAAATTTGGTACTCTGCCCACTTACAATATTAGATTTTGTATTCCCAAACATATTTTTTCTTTATTGTCTCATATATTATACTTTAGTTATTATTATTACCTATGGACTTGCATTTATGATGATTTTATTTGTCACCCACCCGTTGAAATTCAAAATTATTAGGTCTTGATATCTCAATCCAGCAGTAGTAAGTTACTAACTACTAATATCTCATCTAGTGTGGAAATTGTCAGATATTTGGAAAATAAAAACTACGATCTGCGTTATATTCTTAAATCTACACACATTAGAATTTAAAAATCGATCTTCCTACACAGTAAGAGCAAGTCTGCTTAATCATCTATTTTACCTTGAATAATTAGCAGTTATATGAATATGTTCGCGCTCATAATGTTTAATGTTGACTTCCTATCAGTTGATATTGAATTTGGACCTCCTTAAGTTTGCTTATTTAAACTTTAGTGGCAAATCTATCGCTATCAGTGATAGTGATAGAGCATCTGTCTTGATTTGTAAACAGAATTCAATCCTGCTTTTTCAGGCAATTAGCATTTAAATAATACAGTGGAATAAGGCATCGTTATTGTACTATAATGATGTCTTGCAGCCTTCCATACATTCTGAAGAAATAAATGAAATTTAGATATCTTATTTTGTGCCATTTGTCTTTTCTGCTCACCTTAAGTTTTCTTACTATAGCTTGTAAGCCAATGCTTAGGTTGTGTATGATAATTTTCTTTTGTAATTCTGCTGCAGGACCGACCCTCAACCAAGGTCCATGCTGCCCCTGGTGGTGGTTCTTCTCTGGGTTATCTCTTTGGAGGACCTGGGGAGGGGAAATGATACCTTGTTTGCAAAGCATTTGCTTGAAGAATGATTTCTTTTGAAATTCAAGTCGTGGAAACATAATGGAAGATATGGGTGTATTATAGGTTATGGTTGCTGGGATAAGTCGATCAAAAATGCTATATTTTAGATGTGCTAAACATCTTTTACAGAACTGTGTGTCGGGAATATTTCTATTATTAAGTGCACATTTGCTTGCATTTTTGTATTATATCCTTTCCTAGCAATTCTTTTAATCTGTTATCATGCACCGAAATTTTTTTATAGATGCTAATACTCGTGACGAAACCCGATCACTTCGAGCTGGATTTTGGTTTGAGCTCCACGGTAAGTTTCTTATAGAAGTTAATATAAAACTAGTCGTTATGAGTTATCCAGCCTGGTAAGGCCTTGAAGTAAGGAAAACATTGGAGAACAAATTCAAATTAAATAGTATTCTTCGAGCAATAATCAGGTCATAAGAGAAAATTGAGAGTATATCCTTTGTAGAAAATATTAGCATTTGAATTGTCAATGAATATCAATAATCCACCTAAAGCTTGTTTCTACAACGACCATTTCCCGATTTCTAGGATGTCAGGAACGTGGATTTTACGGAGCGAAAAGTTTTCACTTATGCTTGAACCGAAGTTGAAACGAAGATCCAAACAGTAAGTAGAATTTAGAATAATAACTTTTTTAAATATATTTTTTGTCAGTATTTTTTTTAATTTCAAAACTACATATTTACGCCTGTTCTTGGAGCACATTTGCTGAGATTGAATGCTTTCATATCAAATCCCCAACCGAAGTGTTCTTTTGCTTTATTTTGCTGTTTGGATCCAGTACTGTTGGGGCGGGCGGAAGGGCCTAGTACAAGTTTTTTGTCAAGTATGAGAAGTGAAAAATTAAGATTATGGCGATATTAAAGTTTGTGGGAGTCTTTTTTTCAAAAAAATAAAATTATAGTATACATGTAGTATCATCAAATTGTCAAATAAGTCTCTTTACAAAAGAAGTGTCCATAAGTTTTATAGCTCTCAAAACACTGAACGCATGCTAACACTTTTGTCCCTTTTCACACTAAACACATTTTCCATAAGTTAGTAATCAGATGTTAGGCCTTTATGATTGAAAAACAGCCAAATTATGCCTAGTTATAACCCTGCAGGAGGAATTAATATATTCTCTTTACACATACTCTTTGACAGAGTTCACTAATAATAAATTAAGCTTATAAAATAAGAGGTAAGATTCATGTCATTTAACGTGTCCTACATAAATTTTATCCTTAAATTGTGTATTATCAGCAGTTTTCAATCCTGCAGAGTAGCCTCAAACAATCTTCTAATTAGACTTGTGTCGCTTGCTCCCTTCTCACACTTCACATATTTTCCATAAGTTAGTAAATCTGATTGTAGCTGGAAATTTTCTAATTATACCTAGATAAAACCTCCTATAGTACTTTTTTTCCTCATCAAAAATGATACTTTCATAAGTTCTTTTTACACGCATGCTTGATACTTTTATATTTAAAAAAAAATAAGAAAGTACAAACTAAAAATATTATTTTAAAAAATAAAAGAATAACATTTTAATTTTCCCGCTGAAGTGAGCTAACACATATATTTTGTGGGAGCCAATTAGAAAATTAAACATGAGAGAGAGATATGTACTAATATTCCAACAACTATTACTTTAACACAAAATTAGCAACACGAAAGTTCTATGAAAGTTCTGGCATACTTACAAGTAGAAAACACCAAAATACGAAGAAGCTTGTTTTACATGGCCATACATAAAGGAACGTGAAGGTACTTAAATGTTTGTGCATGCACAACAGTTTCCAAGTATGGAAATTTCTAGGAAGTTTCTTTAGTTCTATAAATGACCCTATTTTGCTGAAGCAGTTCTTCAAATGATCCACCATCAGATAAACACTTTGTTACACCTTCCTTCCTTTGATCCTGGTGAATCAATATGGGTTTGCAAGGCCCTGACTTTGACAAAATTGTTCACCTTCTCTCTATTTGTATCCTTGCTTTTATCAATGAAGGCTCTTCCTCACTCTCCGGTGCCTTCATGAATGAACCATGGTCATGGGGTCTAAGCATACCCATTAGTTTATACTTCAAATTTGCACTTGAGGTTCATGCTCATCTTGGAATCTGTGTTGGGATTGGACTACCCTCTTTAGTTTACTGGGGAGCCACTCGCACTCCCATAGATTGGTATTGGGAAGCTGCAGTGAAGTTCAACAGTGAGATTCTGAAAACTGGCTTATTCAACCTTGTTATTGGAGTGTTACATTTGCTGGTGTCAAAGCTTGTTCATTACATAATTGAGTGGATAAAGGATCACAAGTTGAAGTGGTTGTCTCATTGGCCAGTGATTTCAATGTTGCAATCTCCAACCTTTATTGAACACCCTTTGTTAAGGCCAATTTCTGTCAAACATTTGCTTGTGAGGCTCTTTGAATTGCTTATTGTTTTCTTCTACAATGGAAATGTTTTGCTCTTGAGTTGGTGTTTTTCTGGTCAGGCTTACAGTTATGAGGTTGGTAAGGCTATATCTTGGGTTAGTTTGGGTAGTTCCATGTTTGTGTGGATTAAGGCTTTACTTAAGGAACTGGGAATGCCAGAAGAACCACCTGAAGAGAAGGCATACAAGAAGGAGGAAAAGAATCGATGTTCTTCAATTCAAAGTATGGAGACCAAGGATCAAGCAATAACCTGCTTATCAGAATGTTAAGGATTTGTAATGGTGTTAGTGGATGACCACTAAATAAGTATTGATGATAGTTTTAAGTGTTTCAGCAGTAAATTGTAATACGTGATCTATTTTCTGTATATATATATATATATATATATATTGTCTTGTTAATTATGTGAGTGTTGTGAGTACTAAAAGTTGAAACATTCCTTTAAGTTGTCTAGAGGTAAACCTGACTTCGGGAATAAAGGTTTAGTATGAACATCGTTAATCCTGTCGATGTTTTCATGTAAGATTATACCATTTCTTATTTTACTTTAGCTGCATTCAAATATTGAATGTTGGATGTATTTTCAGGAACGAGTTTTTTCTAGTAAATACCAAAAATGGTCATAAATTATTTGTTTATAATAACCAGTTAGTTGTTTCGTTTATGCCATTTTACATAAAAATGTTTGTGTACTTGTATTCAACTTTTATATCATACAATAACTAATGTGACTTTGGCATCTCTTCTAAGCAAGTTTACACAAATCAATTTTGACAAGTTAATTGACAGAATATGTTTTATTGATTTTATTAATATGGTTGAGTTTTAGTATCTAAAAGAACTTTATTAAAAAAATTATTACATTAAAATAACAAAAATATAGTATTAATTTTTAATAAAAAAATTATTTTTTTTATGGTTGAAGTCAATGGTAATATTCTCTTTGGATGGCATGAAAATCGGAATAAAAGAAAGTTACTTTCCATGTTTAGTTGAGAGAGGAAAGAAAGGGCAAGAGATTCTTTTTTGAGTTCCACTACAACCACTCCCTCCTCCAAAATTATTGAGTGATCTTTAATCATGTAATATTTTTGTCATGCGGATAAAATTTGTAATTTATAAAAAAAAAAATACATAACATGTGTGGTTGAAATCATATAATCTTGGATCACAAAAATTGCACTTCTATGTTTTAAAAGAAAATAATGAGAAAAATTAGGAATGTCAAAATGGGTAAGTCTATCATAGTCTGTTATACTACAAGTTTACTAAAAAGAAGTTAGTTCACACAGTTTTATTTAATTAAATTTTCTACCTCAACCCATTTAAAGGTAGATTGGCAGGCTAACAGACCAATCTATCTGAAAAAAAAATTTGATGGTCAAAGGGTTAGTTCAATTAAAAATAATACAAAAATAAAAAATTATAAAAAATATTTTTATATTAATAAAAATAATTTAATTAATAAATAATTTTTTAAAATTAAAAATGAGTCAATCTTTTCTAACTTATCATTGTCCACATTTTAATGGTCCAACTGATACAAAACATTTATCTCAGCCTATCATTTTTAGCAAGTTAAATAAGCAGACTTGTTAAATCCAGCTCACTTTGACATCCTAAAGACAATGGAATGAGAGAAGAGAAGGATATGAGGGGAGGGTTAATTTATTATTATTATTGAACTTATTAAAAATTATTTAATAATATATTTTAAAAATTAAAATTTTTAGATTAACTTTAATATTTTATCATTATTATTATTTAATATTTTTTTCTACTTTTTTCTACCAAGTTAAACAAGTGGAAGGAATTTCTTTTCGTTTCTTTTTCTTGTATTTCAATTCACTTAAATATTAAATATTTTCATTTTATTTATTATTTTGTTACTATCTTTTCTTATCAATTTCTTTTCTCTCTATTTTACCTCTCATCTAAGTAGAGCTTAAAAATTAGAGTTAACAATAAGACGGTTTAAGTTGCATATAAATTTATAATGAAATTAATAAAATATTTAAATTATAAAAATAGCACAATATTTTATTGTAATAACAAAATCATAATAAAGTTAAACATGCATCAAAACTATTATAAAATAACAAAGTTAAAATATATTTACTTAAATATACACAGAAACATTTCAATAATTTTATGTATATGTATATCCGTAAATACAGGTATCTTAATATTCACACCTACTTCATTAATAAGTAAGCAGAGAAAAACCCATTTAATTGAACTCACGGTATGAATATTTTTACCTTGGTAAAAACAAGTTGATGAATTCCAATTAAAAATTATAATGATTTCTACATTGCACCAAAAAATTGGGTGCAAATATATACAGGGAAACGAGTTTCATATTTGCTTCGACAAAATTATTCCTCGTTTAGAAATAACACAATTGTCAAAAAGGAAGGGATACCCACATCAAAATGAATAATGTAAATATGTTTTCTCATTTTGCATTAAAAAAGAGAGATTACCTCCAGTTTTTTAACAAACTTGAATAGTACTTGGAGTTATGCATATATCCTCGTAGAGTTATGCATATATTGAAGTAATACTGCATCCTGTGGTCAAACATTAGGCTATCAATGGATGAAAATTTGAGGGTTACAAAGGAATAAGCAGGAACGACATCTAGTAAGTAATATAACTTATCAAGAATCTTTGGTGTGATATATATATGCCTAATAGGCAACATTGGGGGATATGTGTACAAATTCCCAGCTAAGAATGTAGAACTAAAATACTTTCTGAAGTGGTATAAAATGAGAGAAATTCATTTCAGGATTTAATTTGAGAGTTATTTCCACAAGGCACAAGCTACTAAAATCTGTCTTGCAATCAACCCCGTCTTTATCCTCTTCTCTATCTTGCGCTGCCACAAGTTATGTACACCATGCATCTTATACTGGTGCTTTAGCTTCAAATTCTGATTTAGATATTTGGAAGAAAGCCCCAAAAAATCAGAAGTTCAAATGGAAATAGAAGACTTTGGGGTATTGGTTTGAGAAACACGCATCAATTTAAGCTAAGTATTATGGTGTAACAGCCTAATCCCTGTGTATTGAGTGCATTTCTGCAAAATATTGTCCTAACTTATGGTACTTTTCGGTTGCCAGCCAAAAGTAAATAATTATGAGCAATACCTCTCTCTAAGTTTAATTATGTGCCCTTATAAGAATATACAGCCAATAATGTTACTTCAAGAGCATTGTATAGAAGCTCGAGATTTGCCATCTATGCAAAGAGAATCCAGATACGGTTGATCATTTGTTCTTATATTGTCAATTTAATGAGTTGGTTTGGTCTGGACTACCATTTTTTAAGTTAAACACATTAATCTTCAGTAATTCAATAGTAGCTTCACATGGTTCTCATTTATCTCATCATATGCAGGATCAGCTACAACCTGCAATTCTAATACTAGTTCTTCTTTCTCATCCTGTAGCGCAACACATCCCAACAAAACCTATATTATTGCAGAATATGGAACAAAAATTGATCTAGGTGTTAGTGGTGGTTAGTTTTCTCAAGTACAGTTATCTTAGTGCCTACAAAAAAAATTTTAGGCCTATGCTACTGAATAAAAATACATAAAATCTAGCTGGTAGAAACTTTCACATTATTGATGAAATTGCAGGCATATATATAAATACCTTCCAGTGTTAATTGTTTTTCCCTTGCAAAAAGGTCAAATTCATGAGGAAAGAGTAAAACATAACACTAACCAACTCCAAGACGTTAAGATAAATTCATAATTTATTAATGCATGGCTGTTTATGTATGTAATAATGCATGAATGTCAATTTTTTATACATTCTTGAACAAGCACACCATTACCATTACCAACACCATCATAACCATGAGAGCAGCTAGGCCGCAGATGGCCAGTGGTATACCATCTCTATTAAACTCATCAGCAAATGGGAAGACAATATTCTGGTTCATCTTTCTGGCAAAAACAAAAAAACTCTAGCTAAATTGAGTTCATTACGTCCATTTTCGCACATCCAAAGTGCAAAGCCTGGTTATGCAACGCAATCTTTGCCACTAAAATCTTCCAAATATTTGGCCATCATGGATCCTGTCCCTCTAAGCCTTTCTTCCAAAAAAATCGGGGGTGGTCTTGAGACCATATGATACTGGTCACTCATGTCGTAATACATAAATTTTTTTCTATTAATTGTAAAATTTATTGACACGATATAACATGAGTGACAAAGACCACGTGGTTATACAAAAGTAATCCTTTCGATAACCATTATGAAACACTAAATCCAATGACTACAATCATGTGGATTGAAGAACCACTGGCAATATTAGGACAATAAAACTAAATAACAGGATATGCTGAAAAAAATCAAACATGTGATCGTAAGTCTTATTTTATTGATCATGATAAACAAGTCACTGATAAAATAAAACCTATACAACGTTCACCAACAAAATATCAAAAGCAAAGCCTGTACCCTACATTGCATTCAAAAATTAGAATTACACAACTCTAGCACACTGCTACCACCAAGAAAACCAAGTATTCTCTAGGTCCAAATCCACGCAGTTAAGAAACAGCAGGAGCAGGAGCAGGAGCAGGAACAATTCTCAATTCCCGGCGAACTTCTTCCAAGTCTTCCTGAAAATGCCGCTCATAATACACACACATAAGATCAGTGCACTGCATACCAGCACGAACAGCCCAGGGGAAGTAGTGCTGATAAAACAATTTCCTCTGCTTTTCACTGAATCTTGCAGTGCCCCCTATAACAGACAGCAGGCACATAGGAAGTTGCATCTGCTCAAACTCAATTACCTTCAGTGCTGTCTCCCCAATCAAGTTAGTAGGAAGGTCAAAAAGGGTATGCCAGAAGTCATGCACTTCACGAGCCCGCATGGCTACATAGGCTAATTCATCTGTGTCCATGAACCTCACAGGTGGTCTATCATCTGGGGAAAAGTTCCTGGATCCCATGAATCTAGCATAGGCAGCACCAAATGTATTTGCTGGCAGGTCCCAAGCATGTCCTACTTTTGCAGATACAACTCGAGGACGCTCCAATAGTACTGCCTATCAAACAATATTTTGTAAAACAAATGAATTGGTCTTCTTTCATTGCACATTGTTTAGCATAAGATAAAATTATGAAATCTTAATTTACAACACTGATATTAAGAACACCCAGTTAGTCTTTTAAATTATGAGCGTGAACCAATTTACTCTCAAATACTATAAACAATATTTTTAACATATGGCTAATGAGCAACAATAACAACATATATTTAGTAAATTTTCGTTAAAAATTACAAAATATTATAGTTTACAAGATTCAATGGATTGATAACATTAAATGCTATATTTTTTAATAAAAACTTATTAATTTCTTATTGCATATCACACATTAAAAAAATTGAATTATCAAAATGTCATTTTAGTTTGTTATATTACCAAACAACAATCATATAATCCATGAAATTACAATATATATAAAGACTAAGATGAGAGACATTTGATAATTTTAAGAACTAAAAATTGACATCTTTTTAATATATGACACAGACAATAAAGACCTATATATAATAAGATTTTATGAAAATTACAGATTCAATGCATTAAAAATCACAAAATAACATTAAATACTACAATATCTTCTAAAATCTTACTATTTATAAATTTTTTTATCATATGTCCTCGATCACACTTTAAAGAAAATGGAAAAAAAACAAATAAGGGAAGAACAAAATATTAAAACTGACCCTGCCTTGCGGGCAATTGTTCATTCTTTGAAGAACCCTCTGGAAAGCGGGTTTTCCAGTTGTTTCACCGAGAGCCGCTATTAAATCTGCTCTTCGAGGATTCAACAGTGCCCCTACCGCCGAACCCACTGCCACCGCCGCTTGCTGCCACGTGTTCAGCCTCATTCTACCACCTCTATCATTCTAACAAACCAGCCACCCTTGTCAATTCTCAACATAACATACTCAAAATATCATTTTGTATTTTATTTTTCAAAGAAATTAAGAGATTAAGCGTTGATTTGATTAGCGTTGGCATAATTGGTGAATTTTGATTGGATTAGGTTGAGAAAAGAGAGGGATTATAAGTGAAGAAAATGTTGAACCTGATTAGATATTTGAAGGAAGAACGAAACGTGTGAGTAAGATGAGGATCTAAGCCATCGCCGTTTCAGCTGAGGATTTTGGCGCCCGATAGTAGCAATTCACCAAGCACCAACACCCTTCTAGAAATTCTGTACAGAGCTCTCATTCTGGAATAAATGTTTTTTTTATTTTTATTTTTAATAATTAATTAAAATCATATGTTTAGGTTTTTTAATTAATTAATAGTATAAAATTTTTAATGTTAATGATTTAAAAAGTAAATAAATGTTAAATAATTAAATAAGTGTTAAAATTAATAATTTGATGCATTTGATATTTGATATGATTAAATTATTTTAAGTGTTAAATTTGACAAAATAATATATTTAATTATTATTATTAAAAAATTATCGATCCTAGTCAACAAATTTTCATATATTTTAGAAATGGATACTTTATTATCCTATTTCGGTTTAAATGCTGTTAAATAAAATTAATTCAATAAAATTATAGTTTATAACTTATAGTTGATAAAATTTGTAATTTTAATTAAAAATTTATAATTTATAATTAATTGATTAGATTAAAGTTATTTAGTAAAATGAGTTTTGTATAAAATAGTGTAAAATTATGTAAAATTTAAAAAATGGTAAAATTTTATAAAATTAATTCCTAATTTTAATAAATATTAAATATTTTAATTTTTAAAATTTTTAAAGAAGCAGAATCTTCTTACACTAATATAAATCTAAAAATTTACAATTAATTTAAGTCTTTAATTTAAAATTATAATTTATTACTTTATTGACTGTTAGAATATAAGTTAAATAAAATATTCAAATTGAATGTAAAATTTTTTAGAATTACACTAAAAAATTCTTTTCTCATTTTTAAAATATTGTATTAGTCTTTAAATTTTAATTTTATTAAATATTTTAGCTTTTAAACTTCAATATTATTAATATATAAAAATAAAATACTAATATATCATATTAACTGATAAGTATAAAAGCTGAATTTATAAAAATGATGTCGTTTTACTATTCAAATAATTGTATCCTAATTATATAAATTTTTTGTTTCATATCTACCATCATTTTGTTTCATCTCTAGTTTTAATATGAGTGACTAAAGGAAAACCTCTCAACATTGAAGCATAACTCTCTCCAAAGTTTGGCCAATAAAGCCTTAAGCATTACTAAAGAAAGAATTTTGGGGAAAAAAAAAAACAGTTCTAAATTGCAAAAAACCTTCCCATGGAAAGTTGAGTTCAAAGCTAACAAACATCCAACAAATATCAATTAAAAATATCAACATTCAACCCAAACATTTGATTCATATGTTTCCTTCTCCAACAATCTTTAAATGGAACATCAAAGTCATTTATCATTCATTCTTCATTATCTCTTATAATAAAAAAAAACTCATCCACTTTCAACCAATCTTCTCCCTCCCAAGACATGCCCTTCTCCTAAAAAGTTAGTACCCTTTTATCAAATTTCAACCATTTCAATATTAATTTTTTTTTTACTTATTTTAAAAAATTAAAATTCTATTTATTTTACAACGTTGAAGATAAATTTCAACAAGTCTTGAAAACCACCACCTGTGGCAGTAACAATGAAGAACCAGAATATCAATACATCACAATCATTATATGTCATATTAAAGTGCACAAAGCCATAATACACCACTTTCAATCTCAATGATTCTCTAAAACACATCTATTAGACCATTTTGCTTTTCACTATATTAAGCACTACCCAACATTCCTTTGTTTCCTTTTCCAATAACTATAAACATTTTGTGTGTGTAACACAGCTAGTGGACCATTTTGTTTTTCACTATTGTGTGTGCGTAAAACTTTACATATCATTTTTTAATTTAAACTTTAATCTAATCAATTTATATTTATATTTTTTAACTCTAGTTTTGAATCTTACTTTAAACTTGAAGATTGATTTCAAATTAATAAAATCAACAAAATTAATAAATAAGTTGTATTAACAATTTAAAATAAATATATATATATATATATATATATATGTGAGAAATATCTTCTTGCCCTAGTGTAAGTCTAAAAATTATTATACTCAATTTGAACCTTGCATTTAACTTAAATTTAACGGCTAGTGAAATAATAAATTATAACTCATTAGATTTAAGTTAAATAAAAGGTTCTGATTTAGTATAAAAGTTTTTAGACTTACACCAGTGTAAAAAAATCATGCTCCGTATATATAAATTGAGCCTATCAGTTATGGTCCAGTAAATATAAAGTGTTAAGTTGAAATGAAATCAAATTATGCTAAATTAGTTGGCGTGTAAAAATTAAGTCATTATAAGTGTAAAGTGCGTCTCATTACTAATTTTTGGCAATTCTTGTGTTTTAGATGCTTAAAAAAATTATATTTTAAATTTTAAATTTAAATTGATTTTAATTTTTTATTTCAGTTTTTTTTATTCAACTTGGAGTAATTAATTTATGTAAATATAAAATATAAGTTTATATTATATTTAATTTATATTTTTTTTATCAAAACAAAAAATTATTTGTTTTTATCTAACTCAATATAGTTTAGAGCCGAAATTAAGTCAACTCATAGATTATCTATTTTGTTAGATCTACTAAAACTATTTATCAATAATCGTTACTCATTCAACGTTGAAATAGGTCATATTAAGTTTAGATTAAATCTAATTGTTAAATAAGTAAAATTGATATTTTAGTTTTTGAAGAAATAACTATTTGTTTATAACCATTTCTTATTTCATGATGAATTCTTACCTAAGGTTCTATTTAGTAGTAACTAATAAGGAGACTTGGTAAATAATGGTTGATTTGAGATAGGTCAATATAAATTATTTTTTTTAAAAGACAATTTTTTTTATGAAAGGAATATTTATAATAGCAGTTGTGAGATATTATGGAAGGTAAGAGGTAGAGTGAAAATGTAAATAACATGTTAATATAAAAGTGTTATAGTAATAAATACTATAATATTCAATTTGTTTATCACTACATTCATAAATTTTTCACTACAAAGCAATTTAGAGCTATGTCTAATGTAAGTCTTATGCAAAATTTAGAAAGTTAATGTACTGCAAAAATAGTAGTATTTGTATAGCGCCTATCGCTTGATGTAGTTCCATTAGAGGAATTTGACCAAATACAGATTGACAATTCTATTAAAAGCTCGTGTATTGTGTAATACTGAAGATGAAGGCATACGCACCTTTTTTTGCATCATATGAGTGTGTTTTCCTATAAGACTGTGGTACATGATTTTTCAATAGTTGGATATTAGTGTATGTTTACCTAAAAAGTTGCATGAGATATTTTTTTAGTGTGTATAGAATTTGATCTAAAAAAAAGAAATTGACGAAAAAGTTAGAGAAATGTTTGATTATATTAAGTATCGCTAATATAAGTAGTTTGTGACAAAATACTTAAGAAATTCAATTGTGCATCTAAATTAAATTAAGGATCATTGACATGTATTGTTAATTCTCCTTAAAAATATAATAGGTTAGAGTACTTCTTATATTCTTTTATTTTTATTGGGTCAGAGTACTCCTTTTATTCTTTTATTTTTAATAAGCATTGATGCTTAACAAAAAAAATATATTAATATTTTATAATAACATTTAATTAAAAAAATTTAATTTTAAATAATTCAAAAAGCTTTTTGGGCCAAAAAAAATAATTTATCGAAATAAACATAAATAATATAATAATTTATATTAATATATTTGTCAAGGTTGATTTTAAACAAAAAAATATTTAAAAATATTTATTATTTTAAATATACAAAGCATAGAAACATTTTTTAATAAAAATTATTCTTAATTACTTAAAATTAATCTAAAAAATAATATTGTAAAATTAACATTTTTATGATAATAATATATTATTATTATTATCATTATTATTACCGCATAAAAATTTTAATATTATATATTCGTTAATTTATTCAAAGGTGTTTCCCTATATTTGTTTTAAAATAAAATAAAATAAAATTAACATAATAAAATAAAACTAACCTTTCTCTCTCGTGTTATTTTTTTAAAAATAAAAAATACATTAGTGTACACCTTTTATAAAACTTAACATAATGTGGTACTATTTAATTTTTTATTAAACAAATAATGCGTACTTTTAATAAATTAAAATACACTTAATTATGCATATAAATTTAAGACAATCATATAAACAAATTTATGTAAATGTGCGAACATAATTTTTTGTATTAATTAAAATTAAATTTTACAGTTGAAGATTAAACTCCATATCTATTGACATTCAGAGTTGTTAATCTACTCATTTACTTTTTACTTTTTTAAAAAGTATATTAACAAGTGAAGTTTGTTTTGTTAAAATATTTAGGGTTTTTTTAACAATCAGTTTACGTTGAAAAAATTCATATATTTGCATATAAAAATGATAAATTTAATATAATCATATATTAATTATTAAGATTAAATTAATTTTTATTTAAATAAAAATTAGTAATTACAAATTCTTTATTTAACTTTCCTCTAATTTTTAATATAAAATCCAAACAAAACTTCAAAAAAAAAAAAAAATAAGCCATCAAACTGTCCAGTCTATGGTTCATTTGAATTTGGAGCCCAAAATGAATTCAAATTATGCTAAATTTGTTGGTGTTTAAAACTTAAGTATTTTGACTGTGTTTTCGCATTGTTAGTGATTATTTGTTTTGCCAAATGGATTTATATGTAGAATCATTTGTTGGGGCTTATAAGGTAATTCACATCATTTAAGTTAGACTAGACCCAATTGTTAAAAAAATTTGTTAACATCTTGTATAAAAAATTATTTAATTTTAAAAGTTAAATTTCAAGTCTTTCAAACATTTAATATCATATAATGTTTTATATGATATTATATATAATAATATTTTTTCTATTTTTTTATAAATATAAATAAAAAATACATGTTTATAAAATAAGTCATTTAAAAAATCTCAATTCTTTTTTACCTTTCTTTTTCGCAACAAGACAACTAGACATGAAAGAGTGAAAACTGAAAAAAAACTAGGACCAGCAAATGTTTGCCAGCACGGGCAAGATATGATGGGACAAAATCTTACACTTTTGTATTTTTTTGATATATAGACATGATTT